AACACATCGCACGCTTGATAGTAAACGAAAAGCCTATTCATGACAGTTGCAGTGCCACTCAGAGTTTTAAATCGCAAAGATCCGAGGGGCACTGCCACTGCGCCCGTCACCCTGAGACAAGTTGACAAGTCCCTTGTGCCTGTAAATTTTACACAAATTTTCTCACAAGGAGCCCTACTACTAATAAAACTTGTTATCGTTTTGTCACCGTAGACTTACAAGAACCGATTTCAACTCACAGTTTGTCATCTGACTAGATAATAATAATGAGCACAGTATGTACAATTGTGGATGTTTTTAATCGGACTCGATAATCAAGCAAGTGGACAAAGTTTATACATTGACAACGCACGCAAACCGCTTAGTTGCAATTACCTAATTATTGGGACATGTGATACGAGGAGTCGACGCAGTAGAACGTGGTTCCTGCACGACGCTGCCGTCTGACACTGGAAGCTTCGCTCTGACTGCCCTTGTCACGTAGATTTACATTGTTTCTTTTTTTTTTATTATTAAATATTGTGTTTGGGTTTTCGTCTTCGTACATAAATCTTAAAGATGACTCTGATCAAAGATCTGCCAGTCGTTTTTCAAGCCAATATATGAAATCCTACCTACCTACCTACTCGATCCAAATGCATGAAAAATGGGTTTAATTTTTCGGATACGTGGCCTTAAAAATACGTCAGCTAATCAATTAGGCTCTTAAGTTAAAATGGCAAGTGAAAGCTAATAGGCACGGTAATTCACTTGATGTGGTAATAAATTTGAGTTTTTAGGTTTTCGCAATTGTTACACATTGAAAATAATATTTTTTCAGACCTAAACTGAAACGTTGGTTTGTTGAAAAAACATATACATACACGATTTAGGTCCGAAATTTTTTTTTATTTCCGGTTTTAGTAGACAGGGCGAAAGCGCCATTTCGAAAAATTTTACATACGACCATGTTTTTGGTTTTAACGACTACTTACGTCCTGTTTTAAAATGCAATTTTGGTTTTAATTGAGTTTTAAAATGGAATTTTAAACAGAACGTAAGTATTTTAAAACAGTCGTGAAAAACAAACATCTGACCTGATTATTATTTTTAATGGCGCTTTCGCCCTTTGTACAAAACACCGACGAGTTCTAATGGATTCTTCAAAATGGAAAATATTTTATAGGATGTTTACGGGTTTCAGGGACGCCTCTGCAGGGGGTCCTTCGGCACTCCTTTTGCGGGTATGCGAGGACGCGGCAGACGCGCACCCGCTTCGGCGCAGACGTACGGGGAGAAGGCGAAGGCAGTTCGCTGCTCGCCTGATCCCCTAGTGAGGCCAACGGGCTCTGGATAGGGACTCCGGAGCCTGCATTGCACGGCCTCACTCGTCTTGGTGGCGGGTCGGAGGACAACTGACCTACCCCTCCGTTGGCGCGGCAGCCCTGGCGCAAGCTAGGGCGGCCGGGCGGCGTCGTGGTGAATGTGCACCGACCCCACGGCGCCGACTCAACCGGCGGGAGGTAAACCCGGGGGGGTTTTAGTGGGGTAGGCCCTCCAGTCTGGAGGGAGAGTCCCCACACAACCCCTGAGTCTCCCTGGGCTCAGGGGTATCTATAAAGATTTCCCCCCGCAAAAATAAAAAAAGGGGTCCTTCGGCATCACTACATGCAAGCGCATATTGACAGCAATTACGCCACGGTATCCCTAGGTACGACGCGGCATTCCTAGGCATGTCGAAGCATACCGTTGTGGCTCTTGTTTGCGGCTGGCCTCTTCAGATCTCTACCTCCCTCGCGCTCGGCGTCCCGAAGTTTACCGATGTATCCCGAACACTGCCGAAGCATCCCCAAGGCATTTTGGAGGTGGTTGGCTCGGTATCCCTAAGCTTAGTTTTTGTAGCTATGACCATTTTCATTGGAATTTCAAGTATAATGCCATATCACCTTTCGTCGCCTAAAAATCCTTTACCGAGCTTTCCCGTTAGAGGGTGCCGGGACTAAGTCTGCTGGATACCACCACATGACTAGGTAGTAACAACTACCGGTTTCACAGCTTGCAACAGCAAGCTGTGAAACCGGCATTACTTCTAAGCATTTTGGATTAGTGGAAGTTTTAATTTTCACCATATGGGCTAAAGCGATATTATAGAACTCGTTGAGTTTTTACTTTGACGTATATAACAATAATTTGTAAATACCCCAACATTTCCGTAAACGCACATTTTGTTCTAATTTAAAATAGAAAAAAGTACAGTCGCGCGCTAATTACACATATTGCCTTTCCACTGCCATTCTAAAGCTATATTTCTGCGACTGACAAAAAACAACAACCTAATTCACATAATCTAAATCGTAGAATAGAATTCATGAAAAATAACAAGATAGAGTTAATTAATAAGATCATTAATGAATATCATAAATTGTATGAAACTGCTTTCCGGTGGAGAGCAAAATCAACACACACATTATATTTAAATCTATTATTATAATACTTGATTGAATCACTGTCCCTTCACAAGATATACGTTTGCAAAATATTTGAAATCGATTGCAGGTCTGGTCGCGATATTCAATAATGCAAGATAAGTTCGTTCTCAGGCTGTACATTAAATATCACCTCTCTCGCCACTAAGTGACGTATCTTAGTTAAAGATGTATATACCTATAACATACACCAGATTTTTTTAGATTACAGTACAGCCCCCTACCGGTGTCATTTAAGTCTGTTTGAAAAAAAAACGTAAACGTCAAATCCTATACATTTTGGTTATATTCAATTATGGAATTAATGATTTGTTATTTGTTGATAATTTCATTCTTGAAATTGTTTATATAAATAAACGACAATGTGAAGTATACGTATACATTTTCTTTGAAAATAATATTTCATAATTTTTTTAGTACAAACTTTTGAACGATAACTGTATACATATTTATGGTGTAATATTGGTATTGCTATTTTGAAATTAAACTCCACTTGAACGTTTTTTATATGTGAGTATGTTGGACTTGTGTAGGAAACTGTTTCTCCTTAAGCCCTAGGGATCTTTTGGTACCGAAACAGTTGGAGCAGAGGAACTTGGATTGTTGTTGATTTGACATGCTATTTGCATTTCACAATTGGTATTTGTTTGGAATATGTATGTTATCTTTGTTGTTGGATTAAGGAAGAAGTCGTACAAGTTGCTTAATAGTTTGATTTTTGAAAATGTTCTGGATTTAAAGTTCAACGGTTAGGGCGCCTCAAATTAGAAATTTATAGAAGCGTTGTTACAGTAATGGCGCCACTGTGGTGCTGCAGCGGCGCCACTATAAATTTTTATACAATATTCAGAATCGCAGTTGCAGCGCCACCGCCGTGACACACGCGCGACACTTTAGCAGTCACAATTAGTGAACGATAAGTCTGTCTTTTTTGATGATAGAGTGAAATGACATTTGTATTTTTACCAGTTTCGTAAAATTTTAAATAGTCATGTAGTTGTCGTCGACAGTTTTATCGATAGAAGGGAGGGAAGAGGGTAAAATTTTGCCAAAAATGTCTGAACTGTTCACAGTTCGTAATTATTAGTTTTCATGTTACGATGTCCTAATAATTACTAATTGCATTATTGTATTCTTTATTCTTATTTTGACAGTTGGTCTATTGTTATCAAAATCAATCTTTCGTCATACACATTTTAATAACGACTGGAGGATTTGATTATTTATATTAAATTAAAATGAGAAACTTTAAAATGTCTCCTATTTGTATTTTTAACAACACATACTCCTAAATTTAGTGTATGAATGAATTTTCAAGAACTAACATTTCAAATGAACCTGTGCCCAGCATTAGGACGAATATATGCTGAAGATGAATAATAAAACTAGTTCGCAAATTTATTTCATACGCGTAACCAACATTCAATCCATAGTCGATAGAATATATTTTATCGACTGCAATCACTACCTGCTTGCAAGCGGGCAACACTTTTGCGCAATTAACTGTCATTTTATTTCACCCTCAAAAAATACAGACTATAAATTATTGAAGACCCCACCATTTATCCACCAAAATGCAGCCAAGAATGCTACGTCACAGCAACCAAAAATATATAGATATTTTTACATCTAAAAGCTGCTTACACAAAATAATGAAATACACTTGGTGAAATATAGATAGTGGGCCTGATAACCGAAAGAGCAGTAATTCAATCAATCTTGTTTGACACAGACATGTAATGATTAAAATATTTATGTTGTATTACTAAGTGACTAGGTAATCTCACATCGAAGACTATTTATTTAGTTAAAATTGGTTGTGTCGCCCCACCCTTGCTTTTCTACTTTCCTAGCATACTTACTGAACACTACTTCTAACTTATCTGTCATGGGTAGTAACAGTGCCAGTTAATCTGACGGTTACAACCGGGAAGTTACTTTCTTTTACCTATAACGGACATGTTGACGGCACGGTACGTCCTATTTACCATGTGAAGTTGTTTTCATCATCTTTAGACGTAAAAAGATATATTACAAAATGTAGGGATAATACAATCTGGCACAAAGCTATACAAACTGTCACTTGTAAATGTCGTAAGGCAATATTTTTATCAAACAACTATGGCAGTTTGTATATGTTCAGATGTGGTCCATTGTACATGAATACATGAATAAATAGACAACTACTCTTTCTAGAAAAACATTTGGTAAATGGGACGGGCTTGTTTGACAGTTAGTGTTCTCAAAGCATATTGTAAGGATGGCTAGAGCGAGGACCAGCGCCTAAACAGGGCGAGACCGGACGAAGTCCCATTACTATAGAGGTGTGTTCAAAATAACCAACAGGAAATTTGACTAAGCCGACCAAATTACGAAGTTCTATTGGTTGTTTTAAACACACTTGTTCTCATCTCCGCTTTGGTGGATACTCCGAAGGTCAGAAGGCATATAGATTATTTTTTATATTTTTCTTTATTGTTTTCGAGTAAGTATAGTATTAAGTTAGATTTGTGGCTAAAATATAATACAGATAAAGTGTAAATACTTCATAAAAGAGGGAAACTAAAGAGTGTATTTTTTATAAAAATAAATTTATTATACTGACGACACTTAACAATTAGGAACCCTGAATGTTTAATTTAAAATTTAATTTTAGCTATCAACAAAGTCTCTTTGAATGAACAACAAGGTAAGTCTTTAGGGTTAAAAATACAAAACGATGAATTCATAATTATGAAACCATCCTTTCAGATACCATTTTCAGTGAAGTGGCAAATTGGACGGCAAAATCTAATATATCAGGGCCCTGAGCTGAGGGGGACCTGTGTTAGGAAATAAAAGTTTTTAAATGTCCTAATTGGACTTGAATAAACAAAGACATGCCGCCTTTTAGCAGCGATACAAACGCGTGTTTCAACCGCGCGATTGCATCGCGACTGAATCGCTGCAGATGTGCTGCTAAAAGTCGGTGTGTGTAACCGCTATAAACTCTACAGAATTCCTCGGAATATACCGCCAAGTCAATGTCCTGACTATGCTTTGATAGGCAGTGCAAAGAATTTAATCTATTTTTGCTGAATTGAACGCCAAAAATGATTTTGTGGACTTCAAATTGTCATACCAATTTAAATAAAACTGAAAATAGTTCACCTGAAAGGACGCATAATCACAGCACGATCAACAGACAACTATCAAAATAAATATCTAACGAGAAAACGTAACCATTTGGCACAGTAAGAGTTTTGATATGGTCGTTACTTAAGAATAGAATAGGGATAAGTATTGTACGATAAAGTTTTGTTAGGTATATCGTCAGTCTCGAAAGATTTGGTATCCGGTACCCTGTTTGTTTGTTTAGTACATTCGGCGCATAGGTGCTCGCTCTAAAGTCCATCTTTTTATCATTCTGAAGAATGTTAACAACCTTATAACTATCATTACAATCATTCATACAAACATACCGTGGTAAAACCCGAGTGTTTAAATATATCCGCTTATTTCTTAAGAACGATTGGTAAAAAACAGTACTGCTTTCTTCCGTACAACAGAATGTTGCGGTGAGTAAGATGGTCGTTCGCAAGGTTGCCGCATTGTTCATGGCACATTTCAAATAGCCCGATTTTGCATTAATAAACTCATCGTTACTAATGTTTTCCGACGCGTTAGTGTTTTTTGTGTTATCTGTAAAATTACTTTGAAACAGTTTTTTAATATCAAGTGATATTGGACTGATTGCAGATTTTTTTCTTTCAATGTCAACATCAGGTTTCAAATTGCAAATATTTGATGCTTTCCCCATATTTGGACATTTCGCAAATGTATCTGACAAACTCACTCGCTCACTTTTTGAATCAAAGCTCATGTTAAGATCACACGGCAAAATAGCTTCCTTTGCCTTTCCATTGAAAAGTTTCTGTTGAAACGGAACCCAATGGATTCTTTCCAATTCAACATTACCTTGTGAATACTGTTTACTTCTAATATGGTAATGAGCCTGATATCTTGACCTCAAATAGGTCAGTGTATTGGAGGCTAGTTCGGAAGCAGTACCTGTTTTCAGCCAATAGCGTTGTGTGGGGGTGGGGCGAGGCTGGGGGGAGGGGCGCTAAGCGATGGGGGGCGCTGCGTGTCTGTCGGCGGGTCACCGCGCAGCGCCCGCGCCGCGGCCTCGACGCCCAGGCTTGCCGCGGCGGTTGAAGCCCCTGAAGAAATCAAATGTCATTCAAGTGTGCAGTCACTTTGCGGTCACTGTATTGATCAAAATAAATCACTTTGCAGTAAGAGATTTGAAGTTCTCGCGGAAAAAAAAACTCGATCTTTATGATATCAAGTGACGGGACGAACGAGTCGTGGGCCTGGTGGTAAGCGACACGCCTGTCCACAGTAGCAATGGCATTCTGAACTTTAAATCGCAAAGATCTGAGGAGCACTGCGCCCGTTACTCTGAGACATAAGTTGACAAGTCCCATGTGCCTGTAATTTCACCAGCACACTTACCTTTGAAAACCGGAACGCACTAATGCTTACAGCAGCTGCTTGGCGGTAGTACTTCCCTGGACGAACTCTTTCCCAAGGAGCTCGTCTGCTACTAAGAAATTTCTCGTTTTTGAATCAGGTTCAAAAGTGTTACCTGTATGGCACGCGGCGTGTGGGCTCGGCGGCGGCGGCGTCGGAGGCGCTGGCGGCTGGCGGCGGAGCCGGTCGAGGGGCTACAATGGCCGCTGCCTTGGCGCCCTCTGCGGAGCTCGACGACCCATTAGCAGCCGCCTAGAGACCCAACAACATAACCCACTTAAGTGAAAATGCCACTTTCACTACACCAAGTAGTGTTTTCGTTGGCAAATGTTTGGGTCAAACGCTTGTGAAACATTCTGCAATATTTGTCAAATCGATACCAATGAAGAATACACCAAATTTATTTTTTGGTTATTTTCTGGTCATTTTTGTAAACAACCATATTTATTTACTAAAATTATGCTTTCCGAATTTAGTAAAAAAAATAAAGAAACAAAAAACAAAATTCGAAAATAAAAATAAAAAAGACGAATACAAAATTCACAAAGAAAAAAAATAAAGAAACAAACACAAAATAAAAACAGAAAAGGTCCAAAAAATTAAGTATCGAAATCATGTAAATAGCAGTAACTTAACATTTTAAAATAAAAAAGAAAAACTTTTCATTACAGTATTAAGTACAGTGAAATTGTGGTAATTAATGTAAGTAATTTTGTATGGAATAGATACTTTTTAAAGTATATTTTTGTCCATTAAATAGTCAATAATTGGAAGTCAGTGATGTCAAACGTATTCTCCGCATACATTAGTTTTAGCTAATTTAGTTAATTAGAAAATAGCAATCCTATTGCTGGTTTCAACAAAATCTCTTAGTTCCATTTCCTTGAAGGTTTAACTATTATTCAATATTGAATTTCACATTATGTATAACACCATCTTTTACTTGTCAAATCTAGAGACACAGCACAGAACAATAAATACACTACAAGCGCTCATTAAGCGTGGCACGTGTGCCAACAGTACGCGGAGCTCGACGTATTGAGCTCAGTCCGCCATTTTCGCTTTGTAGTTTGTATGTTAGAGTCGTGACAATTAATTATCTCACGCAAAACATCGAAAATCGTGAAAAAATACCTGCCCTACATGACGCACCTGTAATATTGTCCATGGCATCGGTATTGTTTACCATGTTAGATTTTTTATTTTAAGAAACGCAAGTATAAACCTTATACCGCTTCAATGTGGTCTTTTTTTGGAGAATGTTAATAGGTGTTATTCGTTCGTCGTCTCGTAGCGTTTTAGCTAATAGCTACTATAGCCGCTAGATGGCAGCACATTGCATGAAATTTCAATATAAAATCAAAACGTCGTATCTTGCAATAACAGGTATTGAACTTTCAGCGATATGCCAACTGGGTAAAGTTTAAATTATATTAACAGTGCAGAATTTACGGTCAATCATTAACAAGATTTGATAGACTTTAACATGTGATTGTGTGAGTTTTGACAGCGATTCTGATAGTTATCGAGGCTTAGGGAACTTCCATTGTTTTTTTTTCTTCCATGAGACTGAGTGTTGCTTAAAGTATCATTAACATAAATGGACATATATGAAGCAGATAAATTTATTTTTATATTTTTATATTATATTTACATTTTTGGTAGGAATTCCTAACACTTAAAAATGAAAGTAAAAAGACGTACGTCATGATCGGCGGGAGTAGTGATGGTTAGCGGGGGTGGGCCGGTGTCACCGACGCCGACCACGCCGCCTTTAGCAACCTGCTGCGCCAACAGCGCCGCCATCTTCAGCTGCAGAGCCTGGGATATCATGTATTAAGTATAAAAAAAACAAAAAAAGACATACATTGTATTGTAAACTTTTAGTAATATTTTTATTTTGTAACTTGCCTAAACAAATTATTATTTTTATTGATACAAACATCGAACAAAATTTTTTTATGTGCTTATTGCAGATCTTTTTGAGAATCTTATAAAACAAATAAACTAAAAAAATAAAAATATTTTACGATAGCAATAAGCACATAGTCGATGTTATTTAAAGATTTTTATAGTTATAGTACTATAAGCGGAGTGTTAATTTGAAGCGATGCCAATAGATGGCGTTGACTGTTCAATAAAACGCGATGTTAAGATTTTCACTCTGCACTTTTAAGCAGTTTACAATGAATAGAAATGTAAATTCATAGCATTTGCTGTCCTTGGTGAGCTGTACACCAAGGACAGCAAATGCTATGAATTTACCTTTGGATAATTGAAACTTGTGATAGAGTGCGGGTTGTTTAAGTATGCCAACTGGACTACCAGTCGCACTTATTTCGTGAAAGTATAGATATACTACGCACATTCTTCCACGGAGTGACCATTCGTCCTCCTGAATTTTGTATATAAATATTTACTATACTGGAACACATTACCCTCTCAACAAGTTGCTAGTTTTTATGCACGATATTTATTGCTGTTTCAATTAACAAAACTAGCAAAACTAAATTTAATGTGAAATCCGATTTTTATGATCATCAATAAACTCTCACTTTACGATCCTGGCGGCCATAAAATTACAAAATTTGGAGGCATGAGACCTTAGGAATCTGAATTACGATTCCTGTACCTTGAGTTCAGCAGTCAAGCGGAACGGTGGGGCGGAGATGGAATCCACAGACGGCGGGGCAGTCTTCAGAGCATCCACATCGCATTGAACATTGCTGCGACATACCGGGCACGTTTGCTATAAATAAAAAATATAAGTACTTTTTTATTAGTACAATTCCAGTATTATTTTGTATAGTAAAAATTTCGGATAACACCCAAAGTAACCCTTTTATATTCTAATCTCCAGACTGATAACCTTCTTACCTGGTAAGGGGGAGCCGAGATCTTCTGCCAATGCGGCAGCTTCTCTACTTCTTCCTCATAGTTCTCCTTGCCAGCAATGAGATGGCTTGCGAGGCAGCGAGAGTGAAAATAGTGGTAACACTGCGTTTTTATGAAAACGTCGCCCTCAGCAAATCCGTAAAGGCAAATGACACATTGCCCACTAGGCAAGTTGCTCTCGGTCAGGTTCTCACGTATCAACTGGAATAAAAGTGAAAAGCCTATGTAATAATAATGATATTATAATTTTAGAAAGTATAAATGAAATATTATTTATGGCACTGCCTACATTATTAGACTATAATGCCTTCTATTCATACTAGCTTCGAGCTTAGCTCTCGCTCACGTAGATTACAAAGTACTATCATAGGATATATATAAGAACTAAAAGCAAGCTTGGTATAGAATAATAGACCAAGTTTGCTTAAATTAGTTTAGATAAGCAAAGGCCTATTTATATATACATCCACATATAGCTTTCATAATAGTGACTTCACTGTGCAACAAGCTTCCAGTCAGTATTTTATATTTGTAAATTTTTTTATAATTTATTTTTAGATTATTGGCCTCCTAGTAAATAGGAAGTTTATTATTTACGTATGTATGCTAGATTGTTGACCTCATTGTCACTTTCCATCAAAATGAAATCTGCAAAAAACTAGTGGACTGTATGATTGTGTATTTGGTAGTTTTCTAAGCAAGTTCACAAAATTTTATTGAATAAATTTAACACGAACCAAAAAATCAAAATATAATACAAAACCCACGTCAATCAAAACAATAAAAAATAATTAAAAATACTAAAGTGTATGCAACATGCACAGTACTTCTTTAAAAGAAAATGGTTTTTTGTGTTTCATTTTATATCAATCCAGGAGTGCTATACAATTTACCTAGATTTGGCTCCTATATGTAGATGTGAGCAAACTCTATGCTCATTCATATTGTATGTTTGTTAATTTTGTTTATTCCTAATAAAAATCTTTTGTACATAATTAAAATCATTTCTACTTAACTCTATTGACAGCTGTCATTCTTTGTATACCTGAAGCCTCGCATAACGTAATGGCGGTAGATATTCACAAAAATTACGATTATACAAAAACTACTAAACAATTTCACCTGAAAGAAACTATTCTATAATAATGTAGTGTTTTAGTTGATGAGAAACTCAAAGTGATTTATCAATTCATACTATCACAATTTCTCGCCAAAAATACACACAAGGGAAAATAGTAGGTGGTGATTTAAATAAATAATTTTCGAAAATATTAGGCAACTTTGACAAATACGTAATAACTAAAAGTAATATATACTGTAGTAACTTTTTGAAATGTTGAATATATATCTAAAACCAACAACAATTGTCAACCAACAATTTTGAAAATGAAATTACTCTATTGCACAAACAAGATGTCACAAGTATTATATGACTAAAGAGCACATCACACACACACACACACGCACACATACTCTCATATACACACATCTGTCATAACTTAAGTTAAATATTAGCATATTATTGTTTCCCCCTCAGTTAATTTTTATTTTGCACCTTTCAAATGGTTTGCTATATTACATATGTATATTAGGTACCCATCCAATTGTGCCTCTATCTCTTGAGATACAGGTTTTACCAAATTCAAGAGTCAGGGTCGTCAATTGCTACTTCCTGTTCCATTTTCTGTAAGTAATTGTATTTCTGATGTTGCTGTATAACTTGTAATTGTAATTTTTGTAAACATTTTGTGGAAATAAATAAAAAATAAATCCTACTTGTTTTTTTGTGCAAACCGTTACACGTTATAATGATTGGGGAACACCATAATTATTTTTTTAAATTGCTAGTGGTTATGCACAGATTCATATATGTGTCGAGCCTTCGGACATGTTGTGTTGTGTGTACGAATTCAAACGCATTCTGAGTCTAAAACTTCATTTAATATTTCACATGGTAACCTATCACAAACTTTTTTTTAAATAAACTTTGTTCAAATTTTCATTACACTGAAAACCGAATTAAAACCAAACCTTGTTCTTTCAGGACATGTTGGATGTTGATCGCAAAGACACAATTAGGTACGGTTAGGTTAGGTTTAAAAGAAAAAACATTTTCCTCTCTAAATTACTTCCGAGGTTATGAAAATTTGAGCAAACATTATTTCTGGAAAATGTCATTTCGGACTACTGATAGGTAACTATTTATAACCATGATAGGCAAATAAATAAATAAATAACATTTTATTTATTTATTTATTTATAAATAAATAAATAAGTCATTGTTGACCAAAAGTGTTACTTATCCCATTCTGCCTTAACCACTGTAACAGAAAGTAAATAATAATAATAATAATGCACACACTCTACATAGCCCCACACTAGGGAAACCCTGTGTCATGGGTACCATGGATACACACATAGACAACCATAAATGACACTCAAACTTGCCACGAAATAAATGTAGGCCATACAAATATTTCTTCCAGACCGGGAACCGAACCTGGGACCTCTAAGTGTCAGTCCGGCACGGTAACCATTTGACCACAGAGATGGGTTGCAATTTTGAACATTATTAAGTTGGAGATTTCTGCCAGAATTTATAAAAGTATAGCAGCCTTTACTTTGTATTGTATTAAGTGTGTCTGTGTGTCACTCAGCATTATTAAATCTGCATATAAAGGTAAAAAGAAGATAAGCTTACCCCAATGAGTTCAAAGACTACAGGTTGTCCAAGACACTCCTCTAACTTTTGCTTCACCTGCTTTTTGATTTCGTCCAATATGTCGTCATCTAGACCTCTTGGATTCCTGAGGAACACTTCAGGGCTTTTCTCAGGGTAGCCCGGAGTCAGTTTCACCTCAAGGGTCACACAGACGAACTGTTGATCTGTGTTATCCCCAGTCGATGGATGGACGATGGTTTCGATGATCTCCGGGACCCCGTCCACCATTTTTATTTTCACGTCGTCCATCAAAATGGCTTGCAAAGCCTCCACCTCGTCGGTGACCCTATAGCATAGAGATAATAAAAATAAACAGCTAAAAAATACTCTAAATAAGCATTATCACAAATGTAACGAGAAAATACACACCTTTCGTCAATACTGATCGACATGGTGAATAAAATATGGCCGGGACGAGAGCTAGGATGTACTATTAATTTTATATAAGTGCATTAAGTTCAGGCAAGCGCAATGCAGATGCTGCACACAAACAGCTGGGACGTTCACCGAAATCGGGCACAAAAATCAATCATGATCATGCCACCGCTGTCAGAACACAGATTAGAAATTTCCGCCGCCTCACCTTGTCAGTGTGCGCACGTTTACGAAGTATGTTAGCAAAAATAAAATCGACAAGGCTGGCATTGAATTGTGATATTTAATTACCGATGAAATGTGATTCCGTTTGTTTTGTAATTAGATGTTTTGCTGTTTTTCCCACACCACCGAATAGAACAGCACGGCATTGTTAGAGATGTTATCTTTATTACAATAAATACAGAATATTTTTTGGAATATACGGAGACGTTCACACAGGTCAGTAGTTGGCTTGTCTATATTTCAGTGCGAACGAGAGTTGATATTTAAAAGAGCTGTATCGCTAATGTATTACCAGGAATATATGGCCCTTATTTCGTCTCTATAAACTGCCTCCGTGGCCGAACGGTTACCATGCCGGACTGCCACGCAGAGGTCCCAGGTTCGATTCCCGGGCCGGGAGAAATATTTGTATGGCCTACATTTATTTCTCTCGTGAGTTTGGGTGTAATTTGTGGCTGTCTATGTGTGTGTCCATGGCACCCGCGACACAGGGTTTCCCTAGTGCGGGGCTATGTTGAGTGTGAGCGTTATTATTATTATTATTATTATTATTTCTGGTTATATACTCGATGCATTTACGTAATCCATTAGGTCGTCATTATAATTTGTGTCATGTTTCTAGGAACGTTAACAATTGAAGAAATATGTATGTAGTAAATGTGAGCTAAGTTTTAGATGGTGCTGAGCACGTATTACCGCTGACGCACACGCATCTTTCAGTAGGGCTAGCACACAGACATATATCTAAATATATGTCTGTGGGCTAGCACGACCGAGCGCGACTTGCGCGAGAGCGACATAAAGCGCGAGATACTGTTAATCTCGTACAGAAATCCCTAGTCGCGTCCTATTGTGTTAGCCCTGCAAGTGCTAAGTATCGGAATTATCATACCAGATGAGAATCACTGTTGTTTGTAAAGTTGAACAAATGTTAAAGTTTCATCGCGGCTCTACTTCCAATCTTTGATACCACAACCTATTAAAGATATACTTTAATACCGCTGGTATGCCAGTTTCATTCAAGTGCAGTGGTATAGTACAGTATAGTGACAATGTCAGTATACATATCAGTCATTGTATCAACATATTGTAACCGAGTGTAGGGCAAAAATTACAAAGTAGGGTCATGAAAAAAATTTACTCACACAATATTGACTCACTTGCGTCAAATCAATAAAATAAAAAAATACGAAAAATGGGTGCCTCATGATTTGACTGATCTGCAGAAAGAAACGCGTGTTGAAACTTGTGTTGCCTTGTTGAACCGGTACAGAAATGAAGGAATATTGGATCGAATTGTAACATGTGATGAAAAGTGGATTCTTTATGATAACCGGAAAAGAAAAATGTAATTGGCTGACCCCAGGTCAAATGCCACAACAGTGTCCTAAAGCAAAACTTACCAATAAAAAGGTAATGATAACTGTTTGGTGGTCTCAGCATGGTGTTATTCACTATAGTTTTCTCCGATCTGGTCAAGCAATAACGGCAGATGTCTATTGTGCCGAACTCCGAACCATGTTGACAAAACTAGCAGTAAAACAGCCCCGACTCATGAATCGATCTTCACCATTATTGCTCCACGACAACGCGAGACCTCACACAGCACGAGAAACCATTTTGACCCTTCAGGAACTGCAGTTAGAAACCATTCGTCATCCTCCGTATTCACCAGACCTTGCTCCAACGGACTACCATTTTTTTCGTGATTTGGACAATTATCTACGTGACAAGAAGTTTTCTTCCCAGGAGGCAGTACAAAATGCTTTCACACAGTTTGTGCAGTCTAGATCGTCGGAGTTCTATCGCAAAGGCATTAATAACCTTCCCATTAGATGGCAGCAATGTATAGATAATAATGGCAACTATTTTGATTAAATAAATTTGTTAAAAATTTAAAAAATAAACAATTTAGATTTTCAGTACAAATCGGCAATTTCATACTTTAACCCCTATTATTTTTCAATTTCTCCACTTTTTCAGTAGTTTTTCCGGAAATATTTCCACTATTTGAAATTTTTGGGAAAATTACCCAACAGACATCTGACACATCAAATTATAATGGCTAATAATGTGGATTAAAAAATTACGGCCAACATGTTGCCTAACAGTTCCTTTTCACTCTGTTGAAGTTGCTGTTGTTTTATAGTAAAAATTAATAAATCACACACTCATAGCTCCGCACTAGGGAAGTCCTTAGATTTCTTTCCATCCTCTAAGGGGAAGTCCCACCCCACATAGCAAGAAATACATATGTAGGTCATATAAATATTTCTCCCGGCACGCGACCTCTGTTCGGCCACGGAGACAGTTTAAAAATGAAGTAGTAAATTATGAAGCTACCCAGACTACCAAATCTAAATGGTATTAAGGTCTGCTTTCGTAGGTGTTGCATCAAGTTGTGGTAAGTTTAAACAATAAATTAGAAAGGCCTCAACGAGAGCTCCATTTTTATGACAGCTGCGCTGAAATCAGTGCCATAAGGCACTGTAGGTATGTACAATATCATGTCTTGTTTATATTTTGTTACCCCAGAAGTTACGTATTATTCGTAAAGATCGTGAAAAGCTTCATTGTAAATTTAAATTATATTACGTGCGCTGTTATATAATCTGGTTTCAATTAAAATATTAAATGTTATAAGAATATGTTTTATTGTTGCCATTTCAGACTTAGAACGTTCCTATCGTTAACGGCGTAGAGTTTAATTTAAATCTTAAGTACCTATTGAACTTGAAGTAGGTAGTCTTGACTGTAGAAGTTGAAGTGGTAAGAAAAAAACAATTCACGGTTTGTTCAACATCTATAATTTACTTCATTCAAATTCGAGTACAAAATATTTAGATGATTCTAAATACCTAGTTGTTAGTCTAACATTTATAGGTTTTCTAAATGAGTGCATATGATACTCAGATTGTGTCCAAAAAAGTACGTATATAAGCGCATATAACTCAGGTATAGGTAAGTTACCTAAGGACGCTGCAAATTAGACGCTTGTAGAAGCGCTACTGTGGCGCGACTTTGGCGCTACAGCCCAATTTGCATACAGTAATTGTGTTTCATACATTAATAATGTAACTGAAGCAAGACAGTCGCGTCATGCGCGCGCTCCTTTTGCAGACTAGATGTTGTATGAAAAGTAGTAGTGGCACGGCAGAAGTGCCACAGACGCGCTGCTGCAGCGCTTCTACGTTTAATTTGAAGGTGCCCTAATTATGTAGGTTTATGATGTACATATTTATTATGAGTTAGTAGTAAGGAGGTATTCATCGTGTCTATGCATCTTCATTATGAATCTAGATAAGGCGTCATAGGAGAGCGAATACCGTAATTTCACGATAAAAATATTCAAGTTCGTATTGTAGTGGCGAAAATCAAGTATGAGTCTCTGAAATAAACTAAAGAAGGGGGGCTAATGTTTATTTGACAGCAGCGAAGGAATACGCGATCCTACGACATAAATACTTCGGAGTTGCATACAAGTGTCTTCTAAGATTTTTTTATAATGCCATTGACGAACTCTTTCACAAGGAGCTCTACTTTAAAATCTTACGATTGTTTATACATAAAGGGCATCTAATTACAGTGATAAAAAGGGGACAACACAAATATTAAAATAAGAATAAAGTTAATAAGGCGATGAAACAAAAATGTATATATTTTTTACATTATTTTTGTTTTATTTAATCACGTATCCTATTAAATATACCAAACAGACTACTGTAAGTTTTGTAGTCGACTACTTACAGCACTATGAGCAGTTACACATGGCGACTTTTAGCAGCGATACAGTCGCTTCTCCTACTTTTACACACGCGCGCGAGTTCAAGCAGCGACGCAAACGCAATGTAAGCGTGCGATCAGTCGCGCGTTTGTATCGATGCAGTCGCGCGTTTGCATCGATGTAATCGCCTATAAATAGCAAGTGTAGGTAGTGATGCAATCGCGCGTTTCACAAACACGCGATTGCATCGCTGCTAAAGTCGCCGTGTGTAACTACTTTTTTCCTAAAGTTCAACCTTCAGAACCATTTGTACACACTCTGTATAACGTCACATCATAATATATAATAACCTGTATGTACTAGCATACATATAATACGTCTTACTATTAATTAATTATAAATCAATAGATGTAATATAAATTAAACAGTTTAATATATCAAGGTAAGTAAACTTTAAATCTTTACGATATTCTGCTGAGATATGACCTAATAAATTAATTACTTAACACAATTTTAAGTAAGCAATATTTTTATGCGTGATAGGCTCAGATGAAATCAAGTCATATTTTCACTTTTTTTTTTCAGTGTATGACTATCAATGAAGAATTTTTTAAAATGATATAAGCACATTTTTTTAAAATTCGAGTTCAACATTATTTTAATATTGTGGATTCTTCAACTCTGAAGCGGGTCGGTATCGAGGCGAAGTTCGGCCCTGGGAATGAATCCTGGCTAAGAAGCTGGGCGTGTAGTCTAAGGAGGTCGACGTGGGTCTCGCTGGCGACGGCCCTGTCCTGCCGTCCAGCCAGTAGGTCATCATCTCCCCTTTGCCCTTTTGAAAATCAAGAAAGTCATGACTAAGTATGGGAACACAATACAAAAATTGTTTTAAACAATTGTACTTGGACGTCATGAATATCCATGGTTTTCCATCTTCCATCCGTCTGTTTAGTGCTTTCAGGTTGTTTCTATCTACATGATTTTTAAAAAATTTTCAACCATTATCGTACCACTGTAGGGCAAAGGCCCATAAAGTGTTTATTTTCGGTTTGTAAATAAACATTTGTACAGATTTAATATTTATTTCAAATGTTATAGCTCGACCAAAAAATCTCACATACGGACAAATAGTACTAAGTAGCACTAGGGCATAAATATCAAAGTTGAAACATAACGTCGTTGACCCGAATTAAATGTTACTTAGGTAATCATAAAGGTCGTAGCTACCTGTATCTAAATTAAATTTCAACGTGTATGTAAATGTTCTCTGGAAAAGGCAGTGCGGACATTAGGTACACAGTCAGGAGTTCATTAAGTTTAACACGTTGAACTTTGGACGTCCTGGCAAGGCTTTTATTTAAATTAGAATGTTGTTTTCCTTTTGCTTTATTTTGGAATTGAATAAAGCATTCGTGAACCGAATAAATATTTACAATTACCTACACATTATCTCAGAGGCCAGGAAGTAAGAGATTGCTGCACGAGTATACGTTACAAGGCCTATAAGAGTCAAGTAATCCCCGTTCCCGCCGAGACTTATACTATAGTGCTTTTCTCAAACAATGTGAGGAAATATTAAAAGACTAAAGAGCGTTAAAAAACGTTAAAAAATATTAATTAATATCAAAGTAGTATGTGACATGTTTGGACAATTTTTCTAAAATAAAATGTTATTGTTATTCCAGGCACATTAACAGTGGTCTGCTGAACTTCTGATGATGTGGTTTTCCAGTGCGCGTATATGAAATATTTCGTAAGTTTTTCGTTTTAATATTGGCCCCTTGTTTCAAATTAGTCAGAGTACTATCCATTACTGTATTTTCGCTATCGCGCTTCTCACGAGAACTAATATTCGCGACGAAAATACAAAAAGACGAAAAAACAGAAAAGAATACCAAGTCATTTAGTTTATTTTACTGCCTATCATTTTTTTTTAATAGTAAGCGGTACAGGTAGGTATTTTTAATTCGCGCAATTACATACTGGGCTGTTGGCTGTACGAGTTTTTCTTTTGCTTGTTTGTATAGTTTATTGTTAGTATTTTAACTATATTTTCAAACATGCTCGGAAATGTTTGCATTACTTTCAAAAAACGAACACGAAAAGTTTGTTGTTTGTGGACCTTGAGACTTCGTCCCGGGCAAGGCCTGCAAAGTCAGTATAAAAATCCATTACTGTCTACTTCTCTAAACTTTTAAATCTAAAAAACAGGCAAAAGAAAAACTCATACAGCCAACTGCCCAGTGTTCAAAGTTGCGAAAATTAAAAATACCTACCTGTAGCGCTTACTTAAAAAAAAATGGCGGTAACATTTAAATTTCGACTATTGGATTTTTTCCTTTATTTTTTCCAACCTCTAAGATTTTTTCCATCCTCTAAGCATTTAATTAAACTAGTGTATTGGTATTCCTTTGTTTTTTCGTCTTTTTTGTACTTTGGTTGCGAAAGTGAGTGCTAGTGAGAAGAGCGATAACGAAAATACAGTAATAGATACACATTCAAACACTTCATCAGAAGTCCAGCAGAGTACTATTGATGTGCTTGGAAAAACAATAAGATTTTCTTTTAGTAATTTTCCTAACACGACAAATATTACTTTTAATAATAGTTAATATTTTCCTCTCTTTAGTCTTTTATTACTTCCTTACATTGCTTGAGAAAAATACCAGACCTCGGCGGAAACGGGGTTTACTTGACTCATATTAATATAAGGCCTCGATCGCGCTCGTTATTGTAACTCAGACTCGGCCAGCAATCCCTTGATTCCCGGCCTCTGCAATAAAGTACTGTTTAAAGTTTACAGCAGCGGATAGATTTTCAGACTTAGTTTGCAGACCTTGGCCGAGAAGAAGTCGCATGATAAACTTTCCGTGTTCGTTTTTTGAACCTAATGAAAACCTTTCCGAACATGTTTGAGAAAAAAATTGTACCTTCACATCAACGAGTCCGCGTGGAGTCGTAACGAAGAGTCCAGATCTGTCCAAAGCACGTTTGACGTCTTCAGAAATTTGGATTTTCATTGCTGTAAAATAAAATAGGTAAAGTTTATATAATATTCTCATTTATGACTCTAATAGATGTAATTTCCAATTTTTGACGAAAATTCCTATCCTAAAGCCATACGTGGTACTTATACGTGAAAGTGTTTTTATTATATTTTTATTGATATGTCACAGGATTAGCAGTTGCAGTGGCACTCGAAGCCGTAAATCGTAAAGATCTGATGGACACTGCCACTGCGCCTGTCACACTGAGGCATAAGTTGACAAGTCCCATGTGCCTGTAATTTCACCAGCACCCTTATATTTCAAAATCGAAACGCTGTACCGGTCACATTTATGCTTGACGGTAGAAACAGGTAGGCAGGCGGTGGCAGTACCCGGACGAACTCTTTCACAAGGAATTCTACTGCTACTCAATATATTCAGAGTAGTAAGGTGTTATTCTGATTTATACGTGGGGCGCACTATAAGTTTCCGGAATGAATAAGAAAAAATACTATAAATGGTCAGAAATGAATTAATTGTTTCTCAAAATATTCTCCGTTAGCGTTAATGCACTTTTTCATACGAAAGAATCAATTTTGAAAACATTTATGCCACTCCTTCGTGACTATCCCTGAAACATATTTTTGATACTCGTCGACAGCCTCTTCAGGTGATGAAAATCGTTGACCGCGTAACTGGTTCTTAATTGTTGGAAATATATATAAAAGTCACAAGGTGCCAGTTCGGGACTGTACGCGGGATATCTCATAAGGTCAACGTTGTTCACCTTCAAAATTTTTTTTGTTTGTCTGGCCGTGTGAGAACTGGCATTATCGTGGTGAAAGATGATACGGCGTTTACGGTTATTTTTACGAAGCTTGTCAATAACTTCCGGCAAATGAATGGTCGTGTATCAATCACTGTTCACGGTACAACGATTCTCGAAAGCAACAATAGCCACGTGTCCAGTTTTATTAAAAAAAGAAGCAATCATCCGCTTGGAGGCATTTTGCACGCACGCCACTTTGATTGGATTTGGCTCATCTCGAAAGACCCATACGCTCGATTGCTGCTTTGTTTCGGGATCGCAACTATAAATCCATGTTTCGTCACCTGTTACTATGTCCCACACCAAATTTGACGCCCCTTCGTTGAATCTGATAAGCCTGGCATTGCACCATGTGCCGTGTGACGCGATCCGTTTTTTGAGCCTCAGTTAAATTGTATAGGATCCACCGAGAACACAGCTTTTTCGCACCCAAATGTTTGTGTAGTATTGATTGTATGTGACTCATGCCTATGCCCGAAGCTCATGGTATGTCACATGCCTGTCTGTTTTGATCATACGGCGCACAGCATCGATATTTTTGTTGTTCACAGCAGTGGACTGCGACCATCACGAAATTTGTCACTGAGATGAACACGACCGCGTTTGAATTCTGCAAACCTGCTATAAATAGTCGTTTTGCATGGTGCTTCATTGTCAAAAGCAGTTTGAAGCCGAGTGAAGCTCCACTGATCTGTTAAATTATACTTAAAGTTATAGAAAATCATATTACGAAAATTTTCACGAGTTAAATCCATGGTGATGCAGACAACCAATTTCTAAAATGACGCCACAAAGTAAAAACAAGTGACAGTCAGATGAAACAAACCGTGCTCTACAGCCAAAGAGTTCCATTTTCAAATGTTGTAATTACTTGTTAAACATTGTTTATGTAAGAGGCCAGTTGCGGAAACTTATAGTGCGCCCTATGTAAGTACTATAGTTCCCCATAAATATATAGAGGGTGTCACATAAAGGTCGTATTATGCTTTGAAATGTTAAATTGTGAATTACTGAGCACATATTATCTAATTTGACGGAATAACAATCTGACTGTATAGAAATCTGTTTTAGTAAAAATCTGACTTGGAAGTAAAAAAGGAACTTACGTTCACCGGTGCTCTCCATCCTGCTAGCCGTGTTGATGGTATCTCCAAATAGGCAGTATCGTGGCATCTTGCTGCCTACTATCCCAGCTACACACGGGCCAGTATGGATGCCACTTCTCATACAAAGTGTCTATGAAACAAATCTATAGTTGTAAGACATTCTCATGATGCTGTAATTTCACCAGCATCCTTACTCTTCGAAACCGGAACGCAATAATGTAAAGAACTGCTTGGCGGCACAAATAGGTAAGGTGGTAGTACTTCCCTGAACCTTCCCTGCTGCTAAGCGGAGAGAGAGAGAGAGAGAGGGGGGAGAGGGAGAGAGAGAGAGATTTTGATATGAGTGTACCATCTTTGTATTAATAGGTAAAACACTAACTTATTGTTCGTAACTTTGTGGCTACAATGAATACGCAACGTAAAAAGCAAGAAAAATAGGAAGACAGGATTTACGATTTTTTTTGCACTTTACTAAGTAGGTCACAATACTGACATACAAATGTATAGGACCTCGCTTGTAGGTACTAAGGCTAAAACCGCGTTAAGCGTCTGTGGGTCAATCAATTTTTTTACGATATTCTCCTATACTTGACTTAAAACGGTTAACATTTTAGAATTATAATTAGTAAAAAAATTCCAATATCTTCGTAGTCTAAAAATAATCTCAATAAACAATTATTAATTTATGTTACTTTCATAGTATAAAGACATTTTTTTTCATTAAAAAATAAGTGCGCATTTGACCTCCATCTCACCTGAAGGAAAGTGACGATGAAGTCGACGATGAACACCAGAATCATGCCTATTTAGTAAATGTGGAAGCAAAACGCTTCGTGGGAAGTCTCGGAGTATCCACAATATAGGGTAGCAAGAAATACACAAATTAAGTATGATGTATTCCAGAAACAAAACTTTAAATGGTTGTGAATAATCTTCAAATAATCGTGAATATTTTCTTGAAGACGTATCGTACAAATTGTTTGATTATGCAAGAAAGGGCTAATAACAGGAAAAACGTAAAAAAAAGTAAAAACGTCATTATTACGGCCATATGTACACTAAGTTCTGGTAACGCAAGAGATTAATGGGCACAAGGGATAAGCTTCAGTTTTTCATGAACACTTAAAAATATATATTCATAAACGCTGCTTATAAGATATGATTTCTTTTTAGATAAAATGGGTACGCATTTGACTGTTAATGGAATAACCTATGACTATCGTCATGTCATCACAATATCATCATTTTTTATATATTTACCACAGTGTCGATTAAAAAGTTGATTAACCCAAATAAATTTTACGTACAAATTACAAAAAAAAAAAAAAAAACAAATCACAAAAACATAAAATAATAAAAAAGGTTTTCTCGATCGAACTTACACTATTTCCGAAATGGTTTTGCAAGGCCCCAATTATACTCATTTTCTTGAAACCAACGGGGGTAATTGTAGTTCCATTGGGTTTCCACTGAGATTGTATTGCTATTATGATTATATTTGTTATTGTGATAAAATCCAGTTGCAAGTGCAATTGAATCTCAACAGAGTGGCACTGGCGTAGTAGTGATGGCATTAATTAATTCAATCACTAACGATCGATGTTGCATTACTGAAACTACTATGAAAATGACTATAATATTTATCTTGTTTATTAAATTTTATCTGAAATAATTAGTAGACTACGCAATCGACGTGCCATTGCATCGCCATTGAAGAAAGATTGAAGAAAAAAAACTACAAAACACTGACAAGCCATTACTTTTTACTTCGAACAGCATACTAAACGTACAAAATCCTGCTGTTTTGACAATCAATCGACACATAGCTGAGATGATTTAAAATTGGCAGACTTAGGGCCATGCTATATGACAATATGGTTAAAAAATATTTTATTTGAATTCCGTTTCAACATGCAAGCGTGCAATTGGAAAAGGAAGCAAAAACACAGAGACAAGTATTACCTAAGTACCTGATCGGGGCGGTGCGGAAGGTGGCACATCGATGTCGCTTCCAGTAACTCTAGAGCCATGCTAGCGATCTCTGTGGCGTGTTTGTTACCTGTTAGAAGAATAAGAATAAGTTAGTACAAGTTTTTTACCAGACTTCAAAAAGAAAAGAGAAGGTTATACGTTCGGCTGTGTGTATGTTTTATGAATGTTTTCCGATTTCTTCGTCAATTGTGGGTCGATTTTGAAAATTCTTTTACGTTTTGTGAAAGGGTGCACTCTTGTGATGGTCCCATTGTCCCCAAGTCAGAATCTGATGAGGAGATCCCATGGATATCGAGGAAAATACTCAAAGTACGGAAATACGGAAATTTATTATGTTTTCTAAATATAGCTATGGAACAAAAGTTGTTGTTGTTTATGATGTTAGGAACATAGGTTTTAACCTGTTTTTTTTTAAATAATATTGTTTCAATTCCACAAAACTTTGTTTTATTAGGTATAATTAAAAAAAAACGACACTAAATGTCAACTCGGAACGCGCAGCTCCAAAGGTAGGTAAACAAACTAGACAATGGGTTCTTGCAACTAATGTGAATTTAACGTATAGGTTGACCAATACTGTCCGCAATCCAAGTTTTTAGTAGCAGTAGAACTAAACCATTGTGAAAGAGTTACGTCCAGAGAAGTACGAGTACTGCCACCTTACCTATTTCTGCAGCTAAGCAGTAATGTAAGCAATACTCTGTTTCGGTTTTGAACGTTAAGGGTGCTGGTGAAATTACACGCACATGGGACTTGTCAACTTATGTCTCAAGGTGACAGGCGCAGAGGCCGTGTTATTCAAATCTTTGTGATTTAAACCGCTTAACATAAGGCGCACGACTTGTACAGATTTTATTTACTGATTTAAAAATGCAAATCAATCATTATTAGTTCACAAAAATATAGATTGAATTATCGTTTTTGTTATACAAACCAAGTCCAATTGCTTATTTTAATTTATATTTTAGCTTCACAAAAATACCGGCTTTAAAATTTTGTAATTAAAGTACAAATTGGTTGAGGCATTATTAGGTAGATACATTTTTAAATATCAGATTTAAGTAAGACTACATTTAATTATTGCATTTTGATGACAAATAACTTAAAAAGAAATGGGTATACCCATTAAAGTTCTCTCTATAAGAAATTTAATTTACTTTAGAATTATTTAACTACAAGGGCTTTTTGTTACCTACATTCTGTATAGCATACGTATTCCACTCTACACTCTCCTCTATGGCTATAAAATTACATTACGGAATTTGTCGTTATTTTAGATTTTCGAACCATGCGGTCGAGCTCACCTTAATTTAGGGAATCTAATAAAACTTTATGAAATCCTCTGAAGGACTTTTATCATTTGCAAGGAGGTTATAGCAATTGGGGGAAAAAAAAAATATATTAGGTCCTTGGAGAAATATCGTTTACATAGTGTTTTGCGTTATTGAGTAATAAAAAAAACATTTCTTCTCTACCAGTCTTATAATATGGGGTAAAACAAAATTCTATTGGATATGGAAAATGATATTAAGTTAGTTTTATGTCATACGCATTTTTAAAATAATTTTGTTTCTCAAAAAATTTACTTTTTACCGTCAATAAATAAGTACGTACACATTGTTGCAATAAAAGCATAATATAATATTCGTCAAAGAATGAATTTTCAACCGACTTCAAAACAAGGAGAAGGTTCTCAATTCGACTTTTTTTTTGTATGTGTGTTACGCGATAACTCCGGTATTTGTGAACCGATTTTGATGATTCTTTCTTTGTTGGAAAGAGGGTACCTCCATAGTGATCCTATTTTAATTTTGAAGAAAATCATCCACTTCTAAGGGTGGCTGTTCACGCATGAAGATACATTTTTATAAATAGCGCCTAAATTTTATTATAAGGAGCAATTATTTTAATGGTTGGTTTTGCTATTTTCCAATTCAAGGCGTTTTTTTTCTCTTCGTGTACTTTTGAGTAGTGAGAACTGATTTTTATTATCTCCTGTGTCAAGTTTCGTATAGTGGCGAACTAGGGGATGAATCCGGGTTAGAGCACTTTCCGGTAACCGATTTCATTAAAACTTGGAAAATAGATGTAATTCCACGTACTTTTGAGGTCGATTTTTTAGTACTCTGTACTGAGACTATGTGAAATCTAATTTTATAGAATGTAGTTATCGAGTAAACCACATGTCGAAGTTGAATGATTGTGGAAATAGTAACAAAGTGGAATGAGAAATTTTGGTACATTATTATTATAGCGACGACTGGAAATTTTGATTCGAGAAACACTGTGGTGGGTAAGTACCAATGTAAAGTTGAAAAATATGTATCTCAACACCCAAGATAAATCACACTGTTAGTGAAAAAATATATCTTTTGACATTTCTTTTGAATCCATAAGAGCTAGGGCCATGGCGTATATCTAGATAGACGCCGCAAGTACAGCAATTTGTGTGAAAACCAAGCGTGCCACATTTTTTGTACCCACTATGACGTCACAAGAACTATTTAGTCATGAAACCTCTTTCCGCTCGCTTTAAATCGATTGATTGATTAATCGATTCTCAGATTAAATTTTGTTCAAGTATTTGTTGATTGTAATCAAGTCGTAATATTAATATAGTAGAAAAATACTAGAATAAAATAGTTCAGTCCTTTATTTTACATGATTTAAAAAAATGATGATGATTACTTAAAAAAATTAAGACTTTAATTTTTCATCGACTTCAAATATTAAAATCATTTATTTATTTAGTTTGTACAACTTACACTTACAGTACTTATAACTAAACATGTAAGTCATAGTCAAAAAAAAAAAGGTTGAGTCGATCACCGGCCAAAGATATACTTAATGCGCAATTTGGACCACAGAGCTTTGGGCGGTGACCGCCTCCAAATAGTAACCAGCGGATATTAGAATCATTCAATCATTGTTCTTCCAATAAAATGAGCTTATTATACAACATCTTTTTGTAATAGAAGATCTTATCGATTAACTTAAATAATGAAAACGCACGTCAATATATGAACTGCGACTGCCTTAAATAATTTTATTAGATGGTTTTCTGTTGGTAATTGATCAAATTGATGAATGGCAAGCCAAATGAAAATTTTACTGCTGACAAAATATGGTCAAATCTTATTAATCAGAAGACGTTTACTTAATAACGGCCTCAGATAAAATTATTGTGATTTGTTTATTATTTCTGGGATTTCTAACTCTGCTATTCTGCATATTTGGATAGCATCTTTGGTGGATAAACTAGACCACCTTCGTCCTCGAAAGTAACGAACTCATACGTATGACCAACTCCAGGTTTTTGTAAAGACAGCGCACTGTTAATTCTTTGCATTATATATATTTATTGTATTACTATGTGTGTAATTATTTGCTCACTATATTCGGACAGTCGAGGCAACGTGCTGAAAAAATTATCGAAATTAAAATACTACAGATAATAGATGCTATAAAACTGAAAAAAGAAACGTTACTAAACGTTATAACAAAAGAGTTATACTTAGAATATTTTTATAATATTGCTAAGGTCATAATAATTTTCGTCCTTTTGTTTTCAAAATCGATCAGAATCGAGAACAGTATTGCCTAACGTATACATCACTAAATGTTAAATTTGGCCAAAGTAATGTACACACGCCAGCACATGAAACGTTCCTGTTTACCCATTTACCCACAGTTATATTGCTTTTGCAGTTTATAATGGCACAATTATGCATTTTTCGCGTTTTCGACTGGAGTCTATCTACAATGACGGTCGAGCGTGTTCTGAAGTGTAGCAGCGGCAAGTAAGTGAATTTCAATTTCTTTGGGCACACGAAGTACGTACACTTGCGGTGTCTATCTAGATATATGTTTGTGGCTAGGGCAAAATACATTAATACATAGAACCATTGACTTACAAATACATAGAACATATAATATCATTGCATAGAACACAAAGATTAGCGTCGCAAATTTGAAAAAATATTTGAGTACCCTATTAAAATGACTTTGTTTTTTATTTATACTACTCACGTAATATGAAAACACAGCTATTATTTTTTAACACTATTTTGTAAAGTAACTATCCAGTATGTATATTTATCTAATACCAAATGACGGGACGAGCAAGTCGTGACTGGTGGTAAGCGAAACTTCCAGTACTACTCACAGCTGTAGTCGCAAAGATCTGTGCGGCACCGCCACTGCGCCTGGGGGTCTACTCTCCATCTCCGTCTGACATCCGTCCGAAACAAATAAGTAATATTCGACAAAATTAAAAGACAAGTATCAAGTATGAAGCTTCATTCGCATCACGCGTCTTTTCATTTGGTCAAGTATTGCTTATTTGGCAGTAATTGTATCCGTCCGAAACAACGGACCGGGATCGAAAGTAGACCCCCTGACACCTGTTTGACAGACTGACTGACACCCTGAGATAAACACACACCTTTAGCTGAATTGAGCTAAATATTTAGTGCTCTGGATAATGATTCTGTGTTCGAAATGTGTAATTTGTGCATGCACGCGTGTTTACCGTGGTGTTTACAAAAAATACTAAAAGCAGTGTCCACAGCAGGAAGAATTTAAACGGCAAGGTTTTAAATGTAAAGAGCATAGCTCAAGCTATGCCCTTGACACTTAAAATTCGAATTTATGTGTTCATTTAGTACATAGTATCCGAAAGTGGTCCCTACCGACCCCAGTGGGCGCTAAAGAGTCTTAGGAGTGCGGTAGGGGCCTCGGAAGCAAATCGGGGCCCTGATGCTGTCAGAACCCCTTTTGACATTTGAAAACCGCATTATAAGTTGAGACATATAATACCATTTCTGACAGGCAATCCAGAGGCCACCATGTACGAATCTCCGATGGTCTCGATCTTGTAGACGTCGTAACACTCGATGCGTTCGTCGAACAACTTGTACACGGAATTCAGAAAACTTATCACCTGTTAAAACGTAATAATACAATTTAGTTTATGTTTTATGCTCGTCAATAGTACACTAAGTTTGACATTTTGGACTTTAGACTGTCCTAGCGACGGCATAGAGTTGAATTTAAGTGAACAGCGAGATTTAGCAGCGATACAAACGCGATGCAGTAACGATACAGTCGCTATACGTCTGCCTTTTCACACGCGCACGATATTAAGCAGCGATGCAAACGCGATGCAAGCGCGCGACTGCATCGATACAAACGCGCGATTGCATCGCTATACTTGGTACCGTACCGTGTGTATTAAACGTCACGTTCGACATTCTCTTGTACCTGTACAAATTCACCAGAAATTATAATTGCTACAAAGATTAAACAACACAAAGAAAAAAATACCCACTGAGCTACAGACCGAATCTTCTGGTGGCCCGGGTGTGGCAATAGACGCTGTTTCGAGTCCAGTCATATCGAAGGAACTTTTATTTGTGTTGTTTTGATCTTTGTATCAATAATAGTAACAAACTAGCGATATGTTTTCGCAAAAAACATATTTATCACGGTAAAATATCATGGTATTCAGTATATAAAATAAATACTAAGTAATCAGAATTAAAAAAAAATATATAAAACCTTCCTTACGATTAATCTTGAGTTATTTTTAAGCAACTTAAAAAAAAAGGAGGAGGTTCTCTATTCGACTGTATTTTTTTTGTATGTTTGTTACGCGATAACTCGCCTTTGATGAACTTTGATTTGTGAACCGATTTTGATGATTCTTTTTTGTTGGAAAGAGGGTATCTCAGTATTGGTCCCATTAAGTTTTGTTTCTTTCTAAGGGTGGCAAACTAGAGGACGAATCCAGTTTAATGCACTTTCCGGTAACCGATTTCAATAAAGCGCATGCCACACCGCGAGCGAAATTAAGCTAAGTTAGCTCTGCTCACAGCTGCATGCAACCAATTATGCGACTTACTCGGTTAGCGTAGTTTGCGGATGTTTGAAAACATGCCGTGAACTAAAGCTAACTTGGCAAATGGATGTCAGTAATTCCACGAACTTTTGAGGTTATTTTTTTATAAATAAGTTATAATTGAACACCGAAATATTGTTTTTTTTTTATTTTATAACACGATGTACCTACACGTTCACTTAGAAGATGCTAACAGGCTAAAAGACAGCTCGGTAGTAAAAATATTGACAGATAATTGGAAAAAAAACAGAGATTTAATTAAACGGTATCTGATTATCCTCAATTTCTTGGCGCCGAAATTGCATTGCTCGATCAGATACCAAATGAGCGTATTCGACGGATAACTAAAGTCGGGAACGTTGTACGCAAAATTGAGATGATGAAATGGAAATGGGCAGGACACATAGCTAGGATGGATCCAGATCGGTGGACAAGGACGATCATGGAGTGGCGACCGCGCGGCAGAGGTCGTTCGCCACTTCGTTGAGTGGATGACATAGACATTATGACATAAAAAATTTCGCAGGCAGCATCTGGATGCATGTGGCACGGGAGCTATGTAAAGGAGGGATATGGAGGAAACCTATATTCGAAGACGGATGGAGTAGAGGTTGCTTGATGATGATTGATGTTGGCGTCGAGGTTTTTCCTACATTTCCATCCACGTTTGTTTGTGATTATTGTATTATTTGTTTTTATAAACAACTTCAAAAAAGGTGAAGGTCCTGAATTAATAATGTATTTTTTGTGTATTACGCGATTTCGATACTTTTGTTGAAAAGGTCTCAGTAGTGATATCATTGAACTTTGAAGAAAATGGGTGGTAAATTAGGGGATGAATCTGGTTTATTGGATTTTTAACCTACTTCCCGTTAACCGTAAATACATATAATTTCACAAACTTTTCAGATCGGTTATTTTTATATAAAAAAGTCATTCTGTTTATTTTCTTTTTTATTCTTTGTCTTTTCTTTTGAGGCGTCATTTCTGCTAATTAAATAAAGGCCTTTCTATCTTTTCACATTCAATCAAGAAATTTAAATTGTTATCCATCCTTTCTATATATAACCTAACCATTCAGGCAATCACTTCATCTTTCGCATCATAATGCTAACATTATTACCTGATAAGGCGTTGAGACCGCGGCAATGGCAGTGAACCCAACAATATCGCTAAAATACACTGTTACTGAAGCGAAGAACTCGGCTGGCACCTGAAAAGGCATATTTTTATATTAAAATTAAGGAAAAGGATAATTTTTTATTTTAAGTCGTGGTAAAGATATCATGCCACTATTTTAAATTTATTAGAAATGATTTTATTAAAAATTTTGTAAAATCGCTTAGGTATATTTATTCTCACACCGAGCGATAAAACGAACAAATCGTGCGGTGGATGTTTATAACAGTATCAGTGCCACTCAGAGTTTTACATCCATTGACATACAAATAAATGGACGACGGGTCTAATACAAAAACCACGAAAAAAATGTCCCAAGTCAACCTATTCGAAATTTAAATTGTAATGTCATCGCAGTATCGCGCTGTCAGTCGAACAAATGAAGACTAAAGCGGAGTGTCGCGCTCTGTATACGATATTAGCGCCTTACAAGTGCGGACACTTTTTAGCGCGGACCCGACGTCCATATAATTATAAGTCAATGTTTACATCTCAAAGATCTGATGGATACTGCGCCCACCCTGAGTACAACATAAGTTGTCAAGTGCAATGTGCCTGTAATTTCCAGCACTTGCCTTACCCTTCAAAACCGGAACGCAGTAATGTTTAGCGGCAGAAACAGGTGAGGTGGCAGTACTTCCCCGGAGGAACTCTTTCACAAGGAGGTCTACTGCTACATAAATAAATTCAAGAATATAAAACATTTATCAGTATTTTATTGCATAACAATTCAAAATGAAAAATTAAATAAAATAGCGAGCATTTAAAATTATTCAGATATCCATCATTACACAACTACAAGCTTAACAACATATTAAATTATTCACAAGGTGCTCCATAAAATCCAGCGTATCTAATGTAGCATGATCGAGGCCACTATGGAATACCTACAATAACACCCCGTAGGTTATCATTTCAACTTGACAATTTATGTCAGTAGCGGTATCAAATTAACACACAAAAATCTGAGCGACATCGTATTTGTATTTGCATAACACAAATTTGTACCTTAATAATGGAAAAATAGACGCGTCGCGACGCTACGACTCTGCGCCAGTGTGAGTTGAGCCTAAGAGTGGTGACGACGATGCAATCGCCTTTAAATCCCAAGTGTAGCGATGGAATCGCGCGTTTGTATCTATGCAGTCGCGCGCTTGTATCGCTGCTTAATCGCGCGCGTGTGTAAAAGTACACGATTAGCGACTGCATCGCGTTTGTATCGCAGCTAAAAGTCGCCATGTGTAACCGCTTTTGGGAAATATTATATGGTATGTAAGATTTTAGATGGAGCCCAGTAATCACCAAATTCCGTAATTTCCGTAAGGTATTTTACGAATTTTTGTAACCATAGCTTCAAAGTATTATAACACCTTCCTTACAATAAGGCATCTTTTCTTCCGTGAGCGTAATGACTTTGATGTATTATTTATGAAAGTGTCAAAGGTTTATTGGTTGCGAATGAATCTCGTTTGAAGTCTGCGCGTAAAAAATACGCCGTATGTGAGTGAAGACCTAGTGATATGTTTTTGTAAAGTTTTTTTAAAATTATGAATTGAAGTATATTTTCTTAGAATATGCATTAGGTAGCCTTTGTTGTCGTATGGCTAAGCATCATATCATATCAGCTGGAAGACGTGCACTGCTGAACATAGGCCTCCTCCTTCCAAGTCCCATGGCGACGGTTGACCCGACCGAAACGTCGGTTTGTTTGAAAAACAAATACACGCGATTTTTGAATCCGGAAAACTAGTTTCATTTCCTATGTGTTACAATCGCGAAAACCTAAGAACTCGATAAATTTACAAAAAAATTGTTTTAATTTATCAGTACAACAGCAATTTCATACTTTAACCTCTAATACATATTTCCGAAACAATTATTTGAAAGGGCTAAGTGATTAGCAACTTAGAGACTATCTATGTCTCTAAGTTGCTAATCATTTAGGAAATGTAATTAAAGACTTGTTTACAATTTAATCAAGTTTAAGTTTGTCCAATATTTCGGTAGCCATGTTCAAATTACCGTTAAGAAATTCAATTATTCCATAACTTTTCCGTCCCAAACTTGGTGTTATAATTTCCCCGCAATTTTGTTCATGTTTAATGATCTTTGTTAAAACTTTTAATGATGTTTAATAGCAGTATAGCACCTTGGGAAAGAGCTCGTCCGGGGGCTAAAAATACTGTCACTTATTTCTGCCATTACGGCAGAAATAAGTGTAAGTAAGGCATTACTGCGTTCCGATTTTGGAGGATGACGAGGTAAGGATGACGGTTAAACCACAGGCACATAGGACTTGTCAAGTTTATATCTCAGGGAGACGGGCGCAGTGGCTGTGCCTGTACCTGCGATTTAAAGCTCTAAGTGGGACTGTAATTGTTATGAGTAGGCTTGTCGAATATCACCAGGCGTATGATTTCACGTCACTTCATATCATAAAAATGACGTAATTGCTACCGTTGATGGGTTTAGCACGGCTTTTAACATGTGGTTAAAATTATACTGTAGAATAAGTGATTAAAGATTTGATTTTCATTTTTTTATTGTCTTTGAATGAAAAGTATAAGTTTGTATATTATTCTGGCATCTAAGTTGACAATACAATGATGATAAGTAAGTGTACATAATATATTATATTTGATATAAGTGTCTTAATTTCTGTGTGGTGGTGTTGTTTTAAAAATCTCTACAAAATTCCAGTAAGGTTTTGTATCCAATTAGCTACGAACCTTGTTGACCTGTTGACATTTACCCGGCTTGACCCCGCTCGTATATGATGTATATACAAAATGTATATTTCGTGATTACCTGTTGTGTTTGCTTTAATTGTTTGGCGACGCTGGGTGGTAGCATTTGGTACAGCAGAGAGTCGCTCAGCTCTTTCTCATACTCCAGTTCTCGAGCTTTTTCTGACAAGTTTCTGGCGTACACCTTGAATTAATAATAATAATATAATTAAAAATAAAATTAAAACACCCTCAATACTGTGTATTTGAAAGAGTAAATAAAGTCATTATATCTGTACTCCAGGCGGGATGCGTGTTAATTTATTATTGTTTTTAAAATAAATAACATGTTTATGATAGTTACGAAATTGTTAATGAATAATAAAATTAAAAAATAAAAGAATTTTAAATATACATATATTTAATGATCAAAAATGAAAATAAGAACTAATCTTGTGTAGTCTGTTGGGCTGGCTTTGTATACATATATTTTCGGGCGAGTAATGATTTCATTTGTCAGAATCAAATCAAATATTTTTGGGACAGCGGGACACGAAGCTAGAGAAAAAGCGGGAGATATGGTCACGTTGTCAATAACCCCACAACTTGCCAAGATCATTATAATGAGCCCATACACGATAACTCTACTGTAAGATTCGAGGCGTTGGGTAGTTTGCACACGTCATCAGATTTCCATAGAATAATAAATTTCAAGTAGATCAGACAAATGGTTGTAAAATAAATAACTCATTTTATGAGTGAGATCCTTATACCAACTGAGAAAAGAGCTGATAATTACACAGCTGAACCGATGTTAATCAAACATAGCTAAAAATCATCCCGATTAAGTCAGCCTTCAAATAAAACAAAAAAATGGCTTTAGGCGTTTGGAAGCTACGATGCAGACCGACACACAGACAATGACTTCAAACTTATAACCAGTGATCAGAATTGAGGGGGTTAATTTAACTAAACTAAGGAATAACGTGGATATTCTTCTATAAATCCCTGGATTTTTCAGAACTGATTATTATTAATTAATAGATTCAGGCGTTACTTTGCGGAAGTCCATTTTAATAAAAATATAAGTAAATTAATTTGCTACACCGAGAACCCGGTGAAGGTTGAATAGTGCAAAATAGCCGTGCTTGTGTTGAATATTTTGTGCTGTTAATTTTCCTTTCCTCCTTCCGCATAAAATTACTAAAATAAATAACACAAGCTCAACTACATACAGTCACAGACACCACCACCAAAAATATACCCGACAAGTGTTTCGCCTCTCCACGAGGCATCCTCAGGTGTTATTGATTGTTCGACGTTCGGTCGAAGAACGACTATTATTATTTGAATATTTGAGTACTTTGCCTTGGCGACAAATTGTTATTTCCAATTGTAATTTTGTATAAAATATTGTTATTGTGTTTCTATAGGTACTTACGTATTTAAATACTTTAACCATTTAAAAAATAAACATGAGACGACGCACATTTTACAAGAATGAAATATGAATGAAAGAAAGAAATTTTACAAGCATTGATGACGAAATGGGAATGTCCATACCAAGAAAACGTTCATACTTTAGGTAAATTAACTCCCTCAATTCCAATGACTGCTTATAACTATCCTCTTTTTACGTCCGGGGTTTAAAAAAAGTCTGAGATAATCACACCAATAAGGAACCCGAGTACCGTAATCTCGAAGGTCTGGATCCAGAATACGTAATCAAGATGGGCTTCAGTCTGTTTGTAAACTGTCCGGTTAGTCGTTGATTAATGTCTTGAAATTAATATTGTGTTTCTTCGATAAACAAAATGAAAATGTGTCCTAAGGTTATACTGTGACGCAAAACGAAAATGTTTCTCGATTGTACGTAACTCATATTTGGTTTTATATTGTATCGATTGTCGTAATAAAGCTATTTCCTTCTGGATTTTTTCTCTTTTATTCGTTTTTCTAATCGAATGAACCGGCGTCCGTATCCGGATCATTAATTTTAAAGTGACACTCACAAAGTTCTACTCAATTTCTGATTCTGTACATCAGTTACTTTTGGTAGGAGACGCTCTGGAAAATAATAGGGTACCAATCATAACTATAATGTTACTATTGTAAACATGTTTCCTAGCGTATTTGTTATAACGATTTTTAATGGAGACATAAAATTTATACTAAACCTTTATGACATTAATATTTATTATCAACAAATAGTTTATTTTATTATTATTGCATATTTTCCAGAGTTCGAAGTGATAATTATCATTGATGATTATTATGATAATTTTCTTCATAAAATATACTTAAATAATAATCTTGATATTTATAAAATTAATTGGAATAACAAAATGCTACCTCTAACAATGTCGTGGCATGATGCGTCTCGAATATAACATGTTATATTCGAGACGAATCAATATTTGTGGGGAATACCCCCTTTATTAATATTTTGTGTGATTTTATATGCTCTAATAATATAATGCTTTAGTTAGTTGTTTGTCCATAATTGTTTTTTTTACCTCAGGTATGATCGCCACAACAGAATTCCGTCGAAGAGATTCATCTTAAAATAAATACCTTGCTGCTGCCTAAACGTTCGCGTTTTTTATTAATATTAACTGATAACATTCATGAAACTGACACTGGCCCATGCCTAGTGACTGCCATTAAGAAAATAATAATAATAATACTTTTTTCGTGTTCATTTAGTTTTTTAGTAGTTTGTAATTTTTTGTCAAAAATGAAAGAGACAAAACTATGAATCAGCATGGATAATTATCGTATATATTGTATACGAATAATTATCATGACGATTATCAAAGGAAATTAGTAACTTGATAATTTTGAACTCTGGTATTTTCATTATTTGACAATCTTAAAATAACTTCTTATACTTTGACAAACTCTGCAATTATAATGTAATATTATATTTACGAAATGAAACTAAAATTTAGGAGATAATTAAATCAATCAATAAACAATCTCCGCTTCTAATTATTTCTACGTAATGGAAATGGGATCCTTAATTATATATTTCCGGACACATAATTCGAGCCACCACGCATTTTCAGTATTACTTAAGTGCCCTAAGCTTAAACAATGTTTGATTGATCAAAAACTATTATGCAATTTTGAAACTAGTAAGTATAGTAAACGTCTTTCCCGTAGATATGACCGCTGGTACTTAAAAAGGGAAAACCTGTGCTATAAGTACTAGCAAACCTTCCAATGGCGTAGTACAAAAAAAAAATATTGCATGTGTGTGATTTTCATTGTCAGTACCTGTGTAATATTTTACGAACAAGAGTGCAGGTTGTGTAATTGTATATTGCCTTCGGAACGAAAAAAGGCACAACTAGAATTTCAACAAAGGCACAACTTAAGCTATACCGATGACATGGTGCTGCTTAGCCTGTCGGTCATCGCGTTGGCACAGTTTGCGACTTGTGAGGCGTGTGCTGTCGCCTATGGCCTAGAGTATAACCCGAAGAAAAGCGAGGTTACGGTATTCAAAGCGGGTAAAATAAAGCCATACTATATTCCTCCTATTGTGTTGATTTCAGTAAACCCTGGTTCGAACCAGTGTTTGCTGAAAAAATCCTTCGATCAGTCTGTACTCGAGTACAGACTGAACGAAGGAATTTTTTTTCGTGTTGTACGATCTTTGTATTATAATAATAATAACAAACGAATGGAGTATTTTCCAAAAGATATATCATGACTATCATGGTAGTAAAACATATTCGATAAATAAACATTATCAAAAATTTGTTATATCACACTGGTTAACAAGCAACAAGTTTATTGTAAAATATTTATATGCTTACCTGTATTGTGTTTACGGCGTTTCTAACTAATGCAATGATGATGGGTGACACTACACACACCAGAACAAGGATCCCTGCACATACCACTTCACTCCTCCTGGCTTCAGTCAGGCTTTCGTTCACACCCTCCCTGTGGAAATTATATAACACAATTTTTGTTAATAGGTATTACAGGACGATATGTGAAGAGACTAAGCGCATTGGGTCAGCGGATTGTGCCTTTGATGGTTAACGAGAGGATTAGCGGATCACGTACATTAATGGCGAATCTTTTGTTTTTAATGCACCCAAATTCATAGCCCCGCACTAGGGAAACACTGTATCACGAGTGCCATGGACATATATAGACAACCACAAATTACTCCCAAATTCACCAGAGAAATAAATGTAGGCCATACAAACATTTCTCCCGGCCCGGGAATCGAACCCGAGTCCTCTGCACGGCATGGCAACCGTTCGGCCAAGGAGGCAATCTGAATTTTATTTACTGGGCATCAACATTTAAATTCCTCGGAATAATATAACCGCGCGGTAGCCTCACGGTAGTCGTACGATAGCCACACTGTAGCCGCACGATAGCCGCGTGGCCGCCGCGTAGTCCTAAGACAAGCCAGACTCGCCCGCGCGCCCGGGACGTAAATGCTAAATAAATAGAGCATATTTTGCTATAGCAGTTCAGTCACTAAATACGTACACGCGGTCAAATAGACGCGCCCTTAAGTGTTTGTTAGAGGAAATTCGTGCAGTGAGATATAGACAGACTTTCGTAATGATTATCATTAATAACTGGTTTCTTACTACGATATGAGTTTTTATTTTCCAGATATTTCAGAATAGTTACACGTCAGCCCGTGACCATGATGCGTGTACCCGTTCCGAAATATCGGAAAATTAAAAAGAACTGATGCCGTGGTAAAAAACCAATAATTAGTGGTAATCATTTATTGGCGTGCTTTATTCCAGTGTGACCATAGTCGAGTTTTCGAAATTTGACTAGCCAGATAAAAAGTTGCTGTTAAGTCGATTCTAGTAGCAAAAAACTAGATTTAGTCGGCCCGCCATTCTAAAGTTATAGGTAAGAATGATTTGTTGTCCACGCTGAAATATACTTATTCCGAAGGCATCATTTTTCAATCTCCTGAACCACAGCCCTTAGGTTAGATCTGATTGTACCAAGAAAAAGTCGAGAATTGGTCAGTTCTAGTTGCGAAATTTTAGAATTAGTTGCTTCTTTGTTTAGTGAAGTTTCAAGGGCGGTACTTTCTTTCAATTAACTATTATGAAACATGTCTGAGCGACCGTAAATAATTGTTTATTTAGAATTTGTTTGAATGAAATCATCTCCGAGACATAAAGTGATTAGGTGGTGACATTCAGTCCTTTCTAGGTATTGTGCTGGTTTTCAATTCCTGGTGATTAATTCCTCCCTTATAGAGCTTTAAAATTAAATCCCTTTTCGAAGCGAACCCGACTTGCACTCGAGTCACGTATCGAATTAAATCTATGGTTTGTTTGCTTAGCTTTATTGGAGTGCGAAATTGTACCGGATCGGCTTACTGTTGAGACATAAAACCTGTGTTTGTTTGCTTCATTTGCTACAAAAGCAATTTCTTAAAAACAACATCTTTTTTTAATTATTAAAGAACGCATTTGCTTGTGAAGTAGAAGTTTTCAAGACTAATTATAGTGACAAGAAAACGCACCCTTGCCTTATTATCTATAACACGGCCATATTTTATTATCTGCAAAACGACAGCTATTCAGGAGAGAGGTTTGGAGATACTGTGAATAAAATTAGTCAATAACTTTTTGTGCTTAAATATGAATGTTATAATTTTTTTTTTATAATATCAAGTGACGGGATGAACAAGTTGTGCGTCTGATGGTAAGCCTGTCCATAATAGTTGCAGTGCTACTCAGAGCTTTAAATCGCAAAGATCTGCCAATGCGCCGTCACCCTGAGACTTAAGTTGACAAGTCCAGAAATTTCACCAGCACGCTTACTCTTCAAAACCGGAACATAGTAATGCTGACATTACTGCTTCGCTACAGAATTAGGTAAGATGGCATTACTTCCCTGGACTTTTTCACAAGGAGCTCTATAGCTATTATAAAAACGTAATTTTGTACGTACATAATCTGTTTCTCATAAAGCATAGACTTACTATTATATGTACGTCTGGTCCGCGCTAAAAAGTGTCCGAACTTGTAGCGCGTTAAAATCGTATACAGAGCGTCATTCACGCTTTAGTCTTCGTTTGTTCGACTGACAGCGAAGCAAGCAAAATTAGACAGTACTGCGATGACATTACAATTTAAATTCAACGTTTTAGCTTTTCCATATTCCTTTACATGTCACTACGTTTAAATAGATTGACTTGGGACATTTTTTTCGTGGTTTTTGTATTACACCCGTCGTCCATTTATTTGTAAGTCAATGTCATAAAGCGTATTATTTGATAACTTTCATGAACACTTCAAGCACACAAATATTTGTATAATCTTAAAAATGTTTAAATTGTTGTAAAAAATAATTAATATCATTTATATTTATTAATACAAAGATTCTTTCGATTCGAACCACCGTCTTCCAACTAAACCACGGAACGAACCAGCTACAGCAGGCATTACAAATTTTTCTAAATTTTTTTTCTTTGGTAGCGAAACATCCTGTCATTCAATGAACTTAATTATTATAATATCTTGCAATTTCTTCTTAAATAAATTATATGGCCAGGCTAAATAAATAAGTCAGTCGGTAGAGCACTATGGGTATTTATTATATATAAAAACGGGGCACAGAGATATTTCCCAGCATTTATGTACGACGTAAGTAAATACATAAGACAGGAACTAATACAGAATTACAGCACAAACTGAAAACTACTTCTATCTCGAACCAGTGTTAAACGCAAAAACGCGGTCTCCGAATACCAACTGGGGCGTGCCCGCACCTGCGGTTGCTAATAACGCTTAAGACCGAAGTTACCGGAAGTCGTTTCGTTATTACCATGTTTTTTCATGAAAAGTGATATTTTGGCAAAACAAGGTCGATGACGAGAAGCGCCAACTACATTCGCAAAGACTAATCTAGTCCCTCGAGGATGGGTGGTCGTCGCGATATTAGGTAGAACGCTTGCAAGTCCGCTTCGGACGCACTAGATGGGGTTGACACACTATAATTATAATAATTACAATTACTATTATTACTTTCTCATATTTAAGCTATGAGCTATTGGTACATAGAACATTTTCGGAGCTAAACTACTTGACCCAGTAAACAATAATAAAAGCACAGGGTTGTTTCCCAATAACCCAAACTGTGGTTTATGTAGGAGCGGTGAGGAGTTGTTGATTATCTAGAGTACAAAGTTTTAATATAATGTATAATAATCCGTGCCGGAAGCCGTGGTAGCCTAATGGTTTGACTTACTGCCTCTCAAGCAGAAGGTCCTAGGTTCGACTCCGGGCTCGCACCTCTGAGTTTCTCGGAATTTAAGTGCGAAATTTAATTTGAAATTTTCCATGAGCTTTTCGGTGAAGGAAAACACCGTGATGAAACCTGCACTCTAACCCTAATAAGTCGAAGTTTATGGTGCTTGGATCAAAGGTTCTGATTAAGAAAATTTTAAATAAGTCACCAGTATTTAGTATTCTAGGTCAAAATATTTCCCTGGTTCACGAAGCTAGAAATCTAGGTGTTCTGTTAGACAGCGAACTACGTTTCGAAAGACGCATAGTGAATCTTGTTAGGAACTGTTTCTATAGATTGAAAGTCTGGTATAAAATTAGAAACTTATTATCCGAGAGAGTGAGGATCACTGTATGCGGGTTACTGATGTTATCTCGTCTCAGTTACGCAGATCTTGTTTATGGCCCTCGACTATTATACAAAACAAGTCGCTTATAACAACGCGTGCAGAATGCATGTTGTAGATTTATTTTTGATGTTCCGCCTAAGAGTCATATCACGCCTTTTCTAAACAATGCCTGTATACTCAATATGGAATCTCGCAGACAGTTACATCTCGCCTCTTTAATGTTTGGTATTGTTAAATTCAAAAATCCCGAATATCTTTTTTCAAAATTACAATTTTCCCATTTTTATAAACTACACGACCGACCATAACCCCAGATCATTACGCGCCCCGCTAAGCGTACAGCGACATCGAACAGCAGCGTTCACTGGCAGTTTTCGCTACCGCGCAACAGGGTGTTGGAACAATATCCTACCACCTTTAAGACTTCTAAAATCTAAATGCACTTTCAAGGTAAAGGTAAAGGCACTTATTCTAGACTCTCAAAAAAAAGGTATTCCATAGCGCTTTGCTTAGGTAGCGAAAATTGCCTACATAGCATTGTGTAACATACCTATTTATAATTAAATTGACTTTTATATAATAATCACATTTAATTCATTATAATTTGGTTATATTATTAACACAGTTAAATCAAATCTAAAAAAAATATTATTATTTATTATGCATCTTCCGTATTTATTTAGTTTCGAAATTGTTATTTGTTTAATTTATACAACATGAAAATGGCGTCAGTTAGCTGGTTATCGTATCCGCGGAATCCTCTAGGTTATAGCTGAAAATCAGCGGTTTGCTCCTGAGTAAACACAATAGATATGTAAACACCGACGCTGAGCTATGGCCTTTTTGCGCTGCTACAGCACACATACATAACTGGGTGTTCGGCAGTGCTGCGACTCTGCTGTTTTTTTTCTTTTTTTTAAATTGTATTACATATTTTTCTGTTACGTGTGTGTGTCCGTAAATCCAAATAAACGTATTCTCTATCTATCTATCACGTTGAAGAAGGTTCACAACCCTCGGAAAACGTGTGAAGTCCCCAACCCGCCAGCCAGTGTGGCGGACTATGGCCTAAACCCTCGTCTGAAAGGAGACCCGTGCCCAGCAGTGGGACATATAAATGGCTTGATGATGATGATAATAATATTAAAATGTTAATGTTTTCAGTTATTAATCCTAAACTGTGAGGATTAATTCTTAATTTTAACTGAAGCATAACAAAGCTAGAGCATGGTCCATCCTGCATTTTAAAGTTATCTTGGAAGATCTATAGAGGATATATACGATTTTTTTACTGCTTCACGACTATTAACACGTAAAATTGCTAATAAACAGTACCTATTACATAATAATTTTAAAAAACGCGGGGTATATCTGGTCCGAAACATCCAGAGCATTAAGACTCGACAAAATTTCTTCTTTTCAACCGCTATCTACCAAACTTTGAGTGTAGGTCTCTTCGCACACGCCATTCCTTCCAGTCTTGTATCTTTTTTATTCAAAAATTTCCTCATTGAAAAATTTCCATTTTGACTAGGTCGCTTCTACATCCTACTCTAGGTCTCCAGTCCAGCAACCATCTATTCCATCTGTGGTGATGTCTACGACATATATGGGCCTGGACCCTTCCGTATCTAATCAGATGTGCTAATTTCTCAGTAATGTTTTCAATCACATCTTTTAAGCAGTTAAAGTGGTTTGCTTGAGTATGTAAGAAAAAAATAAGGAAGAACATCCAAAAACATCATTTTATTAATAATATATTTAGGCGCCGTCGTGGTTGCCAGACGTCGCGAATTATCGTAAAATTACGAGAATTTGAACTAGTGTGAAATTCTTGTAGGTAAAAATAGTAAAAGTTCCATGTAATCGCTAATATTACATGATTTTTTGAAACAGTAATTTTACTCCGTTTAAAGCGTCCGGCAATCCTGAGCGGTGCGAAGCAAACCTGAAAAATATGTTTTAGTTCATCAATGCCACTTCGCAAACTAGAATGCTACTTACCGAATATACTCCCTAAGCTGTTTCTGCACAGCCCGAAGCTTATCCAGCAAAGTAGCTGTTTGGTCGTAATACTCGATTGCATCGCTGACGCTACCCACACGTCTGCGGTTGTCCACAATTTGCTGGTTTCTGTTGAATATTTATGAGTCCCAACTATTACAGGAATACACTAGCGCGCTTCTGCTTCTTATCGTATCGATGGCATGCACTATAACGCTTGCCATCGCCATGAAAGTATTAACCAATCGACGTAAGGTACTCGCCAATTGTTGCCTAGAGCATACCAGACGTACCTACAGGAAACTAGCGCGCTACAAAATAGGATGTGGTACCCAACCTTATCCAGTTAAGTTTTCGTACACTTATAAAAGAAAGTGTACATATCTTTGTCGTTTATTCAAGATTTTTCCTTCCCATTCGTTAACAGCAAAACGGTCCGAACAGGGTGTTCCGAGATAAACGTCTACATAGAGATACAAGGAAACCAACTAAAAACCACTAAATATTGAATAACTACTTTTTGAATAGCGGATTTCCCGAAATAGTTTAACTGCAATGTACATTGACTTACAATTATATGGACGTCGGGTCCGCGCTAAAAAGTGTCCGCAATTGTAAGGCGCTAAAATCGTATACAGAGCGCGACACTCCGCTTTAGTCTTCATTTGTTCTACTGACAGCGCGATATTGCGATGACATTACAATTTAAATTTCGAATAGGTTGACTTGGGACATTTTTTTCGTGGTTTTTGTATTAGACCCGTCGTCCATTTATTTGTAAGTCAATGGCAATGTAAGATAAAACGAAGCCATGTAAAAAATGTATTATTGGCTAAGTGGCAAAATAATTTATTGAGATGTAAGAAAAAACCATACCCCAGTTTTAGAATATTGAAATTTTTTCATGATATTTCAGCTATGCATCGTTAGGGTAAGCTCCGATATGTCGAACATATTAACTAATTTTAACTGTTTTTAAAACAGAATTTTGTGCTCTATTTCTTTTATTTGACCATTTATTTGTCACTTAACCATATTATAGTTAGTGGACGGCAGAGTTATCAACTGCATTTTTTAAATGGCGCCACTAGAATACTTTAAATCTCCAACTTCAGCTTTCCATGTAATTTCTTGTATCTATTTACTATTATTCAACTGGTAAGTAAGGTATGTCAAAACATACCTTAATTTTTATCACGTTTTTGACATAATAATATTGTCGTAATTTACGAACATTTGTTAGGATTTATTATTTATTTTTATGTTAATATTTTCTTCGAGCATTATTTTGTCCAATTTAGATAATAAATTAATTAGTTGAATAAAAAAATAGTATCACTATATTTATGCTTTTAAATGTTAATTATTGTGATCTAAATTTTTATATTGCTTTTGATATATTTGATAATTGTAATAACTAATGACAGCTTGTTTACGAGATTAATAATTAGTTAAGTTATCATCAATGAAACAATGAATAAATGAATTATGAATTATATGTAGACATTATGAACACACTATTCCGACCATTGATTATCAGTTATGATCTAAGTACACGAGTAACTATTAATCCACAAAACATCACAGCAAGATTTATTTATTACTTACTTGCTTTCCAAAACCTGATACTCTGTGCTATCTTCCTTGATGTCCTTATGCAGAGGTATCAGAGAAGGTACCAAGTTCAGCGTATTGTCTAGCAGATCTCTGCCGAGGACCATATGTGCTATGTATCTGTAAACGAAATAATTGCAAAATATTTGTAAGTAATGCAGACATGGATGGACAGCCGGATTCTGACCACAAGACTACCTGTTTAACTCCACACGTAAAAAGAGGGGATAATAAAAGTTTGAAGCCTTTGCCGGTGTATTTACGTGTCTGTAGTATCGTATCAACCACATGGATGGTGTGATCTCAAAGCGGTTTCTTTATTTGAAGGCTAATTTATTCGGGATGGTTTTTTGCAATGTCAATTTAAAGAAAGAGTTAATGATGAGAAATTACGCAATAGGGGCTCAAAATGGTAAAAATAAAGATATTTTTGTCTGGGCAGCAGACAAAGATGTCTGTTGCCCGGCGTTGCTTCAAAAATTTGGAACGACCTATTTTCCTTCTGTTCGAACGGCAGTGTCTCAAAAACTACCAACTTTGAAATATAAATGTTTACAGTGGCTTTTTGAAAAGCAATCTCGGGACGCTGGCTTTCCGAAGTAGCTTGGGTTTGTATATTTGTTCTGTGTATGTTTGGTATTGTGCAATTTAAAAGACTGAAATTGATTATTTTCTTTGTTTAATTGTTGTTTGTGTCAAATTTTATTTATTTAGTGCCTAATTATTGTGTACAACTATTTGAATTTATATTTTTTTGCACCTAAATATATATTTGAATTGTCGTGTTAAAATTTACGACGGGCCTTAGCAGAATAACAGCCCGGGTTATATAATTAGCATAGTTCTCAGGTGCGTATGAGTGCTGAGTTGTGACTGTGTGTGTTTAACCTGAATTTATTTTTATATACTTTTCTTCTTTATAAGGACCACGGACTGGTTCAAAACAAACTGATGATGAACTGGTTCGAACAAAAATTGACTTAAATATGTGTGTTTTATCCGTTACTTTAGTCATTAAGTCTTACGGTGGTTTTCTATTTAAAATTTTTCTTCCTTGTTTAATATTTGAAATTTGCCTATGTATTCTGCGTTAAATAAAGCCTATTTTATTTTTTCAAATTATGTTTGATGAACATTTGTGAACTAAGAACTCGATTTGTTGAACTATTTAAAGATCATTTCCCTCTTAGTCATCTCACTCATAAAATGAACATTCAATTTACTTCCACCTTTCCGATCTACCAATAATTTGTTATACTACAGAAATCCGATGACGTTACAATAATATGGTAATTATGATCTGATAGGAGCATCAGATCATAGTTACCATATCATTCCATACCATATCAGGGCAGTCTGCAGACTACATAATCTTTCAACTACCTACTTATAATAGAACTATCGTGTGTGGGCTTATACAATTGATTTCGACAAGTTGTTACTTTTGTTCGCTTACAGATGTTGACTCTATTTACGTTTCTAGTATTTACACTGTTTTGTATCGGCGTTTTTTTTATAATACCAAGTACCAACGGGCACAGTGCTGTGGCAGTGCCTCAGATCTCGGCGATTTAAAGCTCTGAGTGGCACTGCAACTGTTATATTATAAAAAAAGTGACGGGACGAACATAGCAGTTGCAGTGCCACTCAGAGATTTAAATCACAAAGATCTGAGGGGCATTGATCCTGAGCCTGTCACCCTGAGACATAAGTTAACTAGTTCCATATGCCTGTAATTTTACTAACATCTTTACCCTTCAAAACCGGAACACAGTAATGCTCATATTACTGCTTGGCGGCAGAAATGGATAAGGTGGCAGTACTTCCCTGGACGATCTCTTTTACAAGGAGCTCTACTGCTATTAAAACTTTAATTCAATGATGCAATTAACGTACAAAATACAGCAAGTTAATTCAACAGTGGTTTATTAGAACAGAAGCTTTAAATGTAAATTACATGAACATTATTTTAGCCAATTAACAAAAGATAGAAACTTCAAGTAACACTGGTTCATGTTCGTGACTCGGTCATCGACCACATATCTTACTGAAATGTCAATGTAGGTATAAGTATGTAGACTGTAGGAGGGGTTAGCAAATTTGAAAGTTAGATACATACCGCTCATGATCCCTCGGCTGAAGATATCCTCTAGCAAAGTAATTAATGCCCAGAACTGAACCGATGCCTTTGCATTCGATACTGCGGAGAAGGTTCTTGAACCCCACGAGGTACCTAGGAGATATAATGAGAAAAGAAATTAGATTAGGAAATGAAACTATTTTTTATGTTCGTTTTTCAAAGAAACCAATGTTTTTTGCTCTTTACAGGTACCATGATCACGGCTGTCTCATTTTAGAAAATATAGAATTTACCTCTAGATTGATTGGATATTTATGCCCCTTGATGGACCTGTCGCTGTACACATCGTGTTTGTTTAATTCTTTTTAACCTTGGAATAAAATGGAAATATTTCTTGCAGTAGAAATCTTGTTTTTTTTTATAATATCAAGTGACGGGACGAACTAGTCATGCGCCTGGTGGCGAGCTACATGCCTGTCCATAACAGTTACAGTGCCACTCAGAGCTTCAAATCGCAAAGATCTGATGGACACTACCACTGCGCCTGTCATCCTGAGACATAAGTTGACAAGTCCCATGAACCTGTAATTTCACCAGTACCCTTACTCTTCAAAATGTAAATAAAAAACTGTATACATTGGGGTATTTTTGGACATGTCTAGAGTTTTTGACTTCGTTTCGTTCGATTTATTATTAGTTAAATTAGAGCAAATGGAAACTCGGAGGCCAGCACTGAGCTGGTTAGAATCTTAACTTAAAAATAGGTCACAATATGTGGAAATAACCCAACTTAACACAATCAATTGTAACGAAACGTATAAATCAGACTTTAAATATAATAATTCGTGTGTTCCCCAAGGTAGCGTACTTGGTCCCCTGCTATTTCTACTATATATGTGGTAGTACAGAACACAAAATAATCCTCTTTGCAGATGATATATCAGTGATCGTCACTTCACCAATGAAATCAATACTGGAAGAACACAAAAATGAATTAATTAAAACATTCACATCTCTAATGAAATTTCTACAAAACAATAATCTTCTAATTAATTTAACTAAGAAAAGATAATTCATTTTAATAATTTTGGAACAAAAACATTTGAAACGAATTACAACGGACAAATTCTGCAGAACGGTCCAATGTGACATTCATAGGATTAATTTTATATGCCAAAAATGGAATTGGAGGGAGCAAATGGACAATGTGTGTACTAAAAGAAATAGATTTGCGTTTGCTCTTCACAAATTCTCAAAGGCATCAAATAAATACATGGCAGCTTATTCTCTGCATGTGGAATCTATACTCAGATACGGTCTCATAATTTGGGGCAACGGCACGGATCTTGGGAATGTTTTTATTGCTCAAAAGAGGTGTATACGTGCCTGCAGCGTAGCGCCATGTCTCTTATCGACCCTATTTAAAAAAAAGCTAAGAATATTGCCTCTCCCATGCGAGTATATTGTCGGGGTTGGTATATTTGTAAAATTAAATCAATCAAATTTATGTAATAGCGGAGGGCATAGCTGCTAGAAACCTAGGAAACCCAAATAAAGTAAGATGGACACAATACCAAAGACAAAGCGCTTCAAAAGTAATTCTTATGCTACCAGATTTCCTAAGCCTCTTCCAGTAATCAGTTTTAAAATAGAATTGCGAGTAAGTGGCTTTCAGATCATATTTGTTCTGCTCAGTTGACGATTTTATGAAATATAAAGACTAATTGATTAGATACACACATTCCTTTAAAATTATTTATTTGTCTAATCTAATTAAATTATGACTTCCACCATTAAGGCATATCCTTATCAATTCATTTAATTTGGTAATGTATTGTTCAATTGTTTATTATTATTTTGCATGCTTTTGTTTGAGGCTGAATAGGATTAAGTTCTAATTAAATTTTATCATCAATATTTATAATGTTCCCTACCCTATTCAAAACGAATAAATTAATTTTAATTTGAATACCAATATTTACTGACAATGAAAAGTCAGGTGAAGGCAGTGCCATGGAAGAATGGGCTTACTCATTTTACGCATTATTTCTAGCCCATATTATATGGGACAGTATGGGGAAACCCGAAACCATAGAAGATACTAGACAACTGTCTTAGGATCCATTCAATCTTTTTTGTGAAAACAATTTTGGCATAGTCAATTTTTTGTTTAAGCTTGAGTTGTCCATAAAAATTAATAGAATTGATTACATTTTTAGTGCTGATCGACTCAGCTTAGTCTAAGGATCATTTCATTGTATGGGACGAAAAAAATCGAGACAGCAGAAGTTGGTCAAATTTAATAAAATATTATACTTTTGTGTGAAATTTTTTTCATTACCAGAACATGGTAATGGCACACATGGCATGTATGTATGCATCGATCAGCAGTTTTCTCGTTATGTGCTGGTAGCAGGTATTTGCTCTAAAAGGTGCATCGTATTATCTATATCTATCCCTTATTCGGCAAATATATACTAATAAATCTTTCGGTGGTATATTTTTATACATAAAAGAATAAGTTTATAAGTTTAGTGCGTATTTGACCTCCATCCCACCTGACGCAAAGTGACGATGAGGTCCACGATGGAGCATTATAAATATTACCTATTCGCTCTGTTATAGCGTTCAGTAAATAAGTCTGCAAGTAGGGAATTCTACTTCATAGCTGTTCGCCATATAAATGTGGAACATTGACGCTTCGTGCGAATCGTGTTCCATTGATTTGCCAGTGCCGGCACAACACTATACTAAATAAGGCAAATACTACAAATAATTGACAAATTATTACAACAAATTATAATCGTCCAGAGTCACTATGGTAATTCATTAAAATGTTTTTTTTTTCACGCGCACGCGCACGCACACGCACGCACACGCGCTCGCACACGCACACATGGACTCACGGACGCACGGACGCACTGACGCACGGACGCACTGACGCACGGACGTACGGGCGCACGGGCGTACGGGCGCACTGACGCACGGACGTACGGGCGCACGGGCGTACGGGCGCACGGACGCACGAACGCACGGACGCACGAACGCACGGACGCACGGACGCACGGA